TACTTGTAAAAGGTATTAATCGCAAGCACGGAAAAGCAAGCGCTAAAAGAAATCTTGATGCAAACTTGGACAAACTTTTTGATATTTCTGCGTGTTCCTGTTCATTAGATGTGTTTCCCTGTAGTGACAGAAAAGTTTCATGTAATAAAGAAAATTGCATCGAAGAACATATTGTATGCCTTTGTTCTCAAAGTAATAAAGTACCTCTGTAAGACAGAGCTTATCTTCGTGATCAGAGGAAAAAAAGTGGTCCAAAAGGCGCATATCAACTTTCTTCCGTCGATAGATTATCTGTCAAAAGGATTCAAAGCCTTGATAAAGAACGACAAAAAATATCTCATAAGCTTGTTAATGAAGACGAATCGCTCATAGCACAAGTAAACTTAATTGAAGAAACAAGTATTGGTTTGACCAATACGGAGGTAAATATTTTATAAATACATGAAATATTTGTAACAGATGAAACAGAAAGCGTTTTATTTTATTAACCCTTTTTAGGATGAAGGTGAATGGAAACCAGTAAATAATCCTATTGGAAAATACAACTTAGTTAAACTTTCAAGATTTGCAATGGAATTAGTCAGAAATGAGTGTTCGTCAAACGTAGGTGCAGCCCTAGCAAATGCTTTACTACATGACATAAAACATCTCTTGAAAAATGACGTTGATATTAAAGATATTTTGATTGACAAATGCAAGTTAGATAGGGCCAAGTCAAAAGTAAAAATCGTTAGTGAAGAGGTGGACTCAGAACAAAAAAAACAGTTAATTTGTCTTGGGGTTGACAGCAAGCTCGATTAAATAACTAAAACAAGTATAATAATAAACTTACCTCAAGGAGAAGTACTAAAGAAATGCATTGAACCTGAACATCACCTCACATTTACTTATGAAGATGGAAAATCGAGTGGAAATTATTTGACTCATAGGACGATTCCTGTCACCGGTGCTACAGGTTTAGTTCTTGCTACCTAAACGTTTAGTGTTTTACAAGAACATAACAGTTTGGAAAGTATACAAGCTGTTCTTCTTGATAATACTGCTACCAATACTGGACCAATAAGTGGCTTAGTGGTAAAACTTCATCTAATTGGATGCGCATTACATCAAAATGAACTTCCATTAGGAGCTCTTTTTGTAAAACTTGATGGTGACACAACTGGGCCAAGAAGCTTTAGTGGTCTACTTGGCAAAAGATGTGCTGAAAATATTCAGGATAAAAATCAAGTTTTGTTTAATCGTATTAAAAACCCAATTGTAGATGGATATATTCCAGAAGAAATTCTAGTAGACCTTAGTTGCGATCAAAGACTTTTATTTGAATATTGCAAAGGAGTAGGCTTTGGTAAAGTTTCTGATAAATGGGCCGCCTATAAAATTGGACCGCTTAATCATGCAAGGTGGTTAACTCTAGCTATTCGCCTTCTCTGCTTGTATACTAGAGACAATCAACCAAGTGTTTCTTTAAAAAAACTCGTATGTTTTATTGTTCAGGTTTACGCTCCAGCGTGGTTCGATATAAAAAAATCTTCAAAATTTCACGAATCCCCGCGCCTTATTTTTTCTACTATCACTAGAATAAATAATCTCCCCTTTGATGATGTTAAATATATTGTTAAAAAAAACATTAAAAACAATGCATTGTGCCTAAAACCTGAAAATATTCTTTATGCCATGTTAAAAGATAATGACAGCAAGATACGAAACTTTGGTTTTCAAATCCTACTGGGTCTAAGGCAAAGGTATTTTTTTTATAGTAAACTAAAATAAAGTTTTGAAAAAAAATGATACATTAAATGTGGTAATTGGATTTGATTTATATTTATAGAGTAAACAACGAAAGTTTGGAAGTAAATTTGAAAAAAATTCCAGAAATTAATTTTAATGCTAATCATTGGTATGAGTTGGTAGACATCAGCATTACTAAATTTACGGAGCCCCTAACAACACAACATTTTTCAATTGAGCAAATCCAATATGCGATTGACAATAATGTTAAACCTGAAATCCCCGTCTTTCCATCTCACTCCCAGAGTGTTGAGCAAGCAGTAAAACTTGTGTCGGACGCATCCCAATATGTTTATGGATTCAAGAATCGACGCAGCTGCATTTTAACTAAACTACTTATTAGGAAGATGCGTAAACCTTATATTTCAAAAAGGCATTATTCCCATTCTTATTATGATATTTTTTAATTGAAAATGTTTTCCTAAAATATATATATCCATAGCCAAAATCTTTTAATTTGTGAAAATGTTTATTTGGATATTCTTATGTAAATATAAGAATAAAAGTTTCACTATTTAAATCTTCAAATAGTTAACAAGTTGATATAAATTTAGCTTAATTGTTATAAACTGTTATAAACTTAAATCATACAGAAAAGCAAATTGTATTGAAAAACATTTAAATATGAACTTAGTTAAAACGTCAAGTTTTGCATATAACGCTTTTTAAGGTGTTTTTTTACATAATCCAACAAATCTTAAAAATTAAATCCGCAAGCGATTCTTTATCCAAAATCTCTCAAATTTTGAGAGTAATCGTATTTTAACTGTCTACAACTACTGCAATATTACGCAATATGCGGAATTAAAATTGACCTACCCTAATATATATATATATATATATATATATATATATATATATATATATATATATATATATATATATATATATATATATATATATATATTTATATATATATATATATATATATATATATATAATATATATATATATATATATTAGGAAAAATGAGGTCGGCAATAATTTGCAGACCTCAATCTTTTTGAGGTCGGCATCTGGTCGGCAAAAATTATTTGATACAAAGGTCTGACCATAAAACATAAAAACGAGGTCAGCAATTTTTTGCTGACTTCAAGCACTATTAATATATATATATAAATTGTTATATATATATATATATATATATAACAATTTATAAATAAATACAGTGTATATATATATATATATATATATATATATATATATATATATATATATATATATATATATATGTATATATATATATATATATACATTTTATTTACATACATATTTATTTGTTTTTTCAAAAACAATGTGTTTTATACTTAAATATAGAAAAAACAACTCTAATGGAACTTAATGATTTATGCCTATCAGTAATCATCAGCCATGGAGTACAATATCAAAAATATAAAAAACCGTTTAAATTTACAAACTACGGTAAAATGAGTTCTGACGTTTTAGAACAAGAAGACATAATGGAAAATTAATCTTTGCTATTAATTATTTAAAAGAGAAATTTGTTTTTGTGTCTACATTTAGAAACTAATTCACCTTTTTTATTTAGCAGGTTATCTCCTTTGTAAAATAATATTTAAAATTTCTCATTTAAACAAAGCTTACAATTTTTGACGCAGGATTGTATGATTTACAGCATTTAATAATATTCCATTTGATTGAAGATGTAAAATCCTTTCATTTTAATTCCTATACTTCCTTAGATAACTCAGTGTCGTTCTTGTACTTTTTTATTTTAAAAGATTTTAGATGGTTTCTATAACGTAGCTTAAAAGAGGTTTTGCTTATCCCGATGTATACTTAATCTTTGTATTGAGGTTTATTTGAGCTAGGTAAACGATGTGGTTAGACAAGTAATTGATGTTCAATGAACAACGAGATTTTTTAATCCAATTGCAGGCTTTCACTGATAACTTTACATCATCATATAAAATGTTTTTGTTGTGTGAGTTGATGATAGATTTAATGTTTGGCATGCAGGAGTAGCTCATCTTAATTGCGTTTTTGTTAAATATTTTGTGTAGGTTGTGGTCTATAGGAAAATTAGGGATAAAAAACGTTGACCAATTTTGGTTGTAACATTTTTACTAAATGGAGGATTGTACCAGATTATATTTTGTTTGAGGTTATTTTTTGAAACATTTTTTATGCTTGGTTTATATGCCAACTTATAAGTGTATCCTGATTGCTTTAGTGCGTCTTCATAAAGATGTGTCGATTTATTGAAAATAACTTCACTTGTTGAGTTGGCGGACAATCTTAGCTCGATATTTTTTGGAAGATTATTTATTGTTAGGTGGATGGATAGAATCAGCATGTACATAACTCAGCTTATTATCAGGCTTGCAGTATGGTTGGAATGAATTGTGAGTAAGGTTAAAAGTTAAATCATTGCAATTGATAGAGATGTTGAGATTGTTACATTTAAAAACTTGAACGACATGCTTTTTTATTTGCTCCATTTGATGGCCATTTTTGTTCTTAAAAACAGCTAACCCTTCATCTCGATATAAACCAAAATCATTTTTGTTGTAAAACTGCAAAATCATTTTTGTTGTAAAACTGCGAAATCATTTTTGTTGTAAAACTGCAAAAGTTTATCTAAAAAAAAATCCCAACTAGTTCTCAAACTTCCGCATGATCATAGGTTCCCATGGTAACATCAAACAATCCTGCTTTTTATAATTACTACTGATACTTATAACTACTGATACTGTGGCCTCATTCTTTTACTAAGTTCCTAAATGCTTAGAAAATTTTTATTCGTCTTTTTTTATATATAAAAATTTTTATAATAATTTTTTCCTTGAACATTCTTCTTTGGAATTCTTTCCTTCGTTTTGTTTTCCTGATTCACAATTTGCAATCTTTTAAGTTTTCTGTTGATTGTTATTGTTATCTTGCTCTATAAACTTTATCTTTTCTCTACCAGTAACTTCATTAGTGGTATCTTGCTCTATAAACTTTATCTTTTCTCTACCAGTAACTTCATTAGTGGTTGCTTGCAGCCTTGTTGGAAATAAAGATGTTAAAAAAAATATATATGTATATAGTATTTATTTTATATATTGTTATTAGTATTTCCTATATATACTGCATATGTATAGCTAGTGTAAAATATATATATAAGAAATTAAAATTAAAGTTCCTTAAACATTAAAAATGTTTTGAAAATTTTATGCATGTTTTGATTGTATAATTTTTTGTTCTAGGAACTTGATTATCAACGGGAGTTATCAAGATCAAATTTTTTAATCTTCAAGCAGAAAATTATTTCTACTGGGTAAAATTATTTCGATTTATTTATTTTCTTTTTTATTCATTTCCATTTTTGTTGTATCTGAAAGTAAGAATTGTTGTCCTACAGGTTTACATACATACATACATACATATTTCACTATACAATATAGTGACAATTTATATTGCTTAGCATTTTGTTAGTCATGTCATTTTTTTATCTTTATTTTTGGTTTTTTTATGTTATTGTTAATAATCATTAGTGTATATTATGTAACTTTATTTTGTTTAAAAGTATCAATTAAGATTTTTATTTGTCAATTTTGTTTAAAATCAATTAAGAATATTATTTGTCAAATTTGTTTAAAATTTTTAAGTAATTCCTAATAGATATTGTAAATGTGTGTGTAAAAAAAAAAAAGTGTATATATATATATATATATATATATATATATATATATATATATATATATATATATATATATATATATATCAGGGGGCTATTTTACCGTATTTGATTTGAGGAGCTTTTTTTTTTTTTTTCAGCAAAGATTGTTTTTTTTATTTTTAAAAAACACCAATTTTCTCCTAAATTTTTCCAGGATGGGGGGGGGGGCTGCTGCCTAATTTATTTTCCTAGAATAGGCCCTGTATATATGTATGTATATATATATATATATATATATATATATATATATATATATATATATATATATATATATATATATATATATATATATATATATATATATATATATATATATATATATATATATATATACACATTAGGGTGTTTCATATTTTATCAGTTTTTGAAAATAGAACTCGCGAATCGATTTATAAGTTGACCATTTGTATGAAAATAAGTTTGAGCAAAAAAAAAATTAAAAAGTTTAAATTTTAGGGTCCCCGCCAGTTCAATTTTGGGCCAAAAATGATGGGTGTTTTAAACGCCTGGCGGGGACCTTGAAATTTATCGAAAGTTTTTTTATATTTTTTTAAATGTTATATGTTGGATTGAATATTAATCACATAAATGGAGCATGTTGATAAAATTAAGAAATTAGTCTACAGAATCTTCTGAGATTGATGAAAAATCCAAATTTTCCTTCTTAAAAATCTATTTTATCACTCAATCGCGTATAAAAAACATTTTTGATTTTCTAATAAACTGTTTCCAGACGCGGAAAAATCAATAACCTTGATTTTTTTAATAATAGTGTCAAATGAGGTATATATAGGTCTAAAAAAAATTCTTTTATCCTTTGAGGTAACCTAACCCTTAATAGCCTAATAACAGTTTATTTTAGTTATTTTTATTATAAAAAAGACTTAATGAACTTACTGCAACATGGTTAAAAGTGGTATTGTTGTTATTAAAGCCATCATTTAAAAACTATATTATCTATTTTGCAATTGCTTGATATGTTAATTGCAAATCTTCTTTAGCCATGTTAAGGTTTTCTCTCCTTTGGTGAATAGCTAGCAGTAACTCCTGTCAATCGTCTTCATTGTGAACGTTATTTACAAAGTCTGATACAACTTTAATAGATCTTTCAGAAATGTCGTTAACCACTGCAAGGTTGGAAACAAACTGGGAAAAAATCTTAAACTGTTCAATATACTCCCATAGTGGTGCCAGGCTGTTTAATTAAAGTTTATCATTTAGCTTAGTAAGGTTTAACAAACTAAATATGAACCAAGAGTTTTCTTCCACTAGTTGGGCAATACTTGGTGGTTTTTCTAGGTTAAAGTTAAGAGTTTTTAACAAATTTAATTTCTCGGAATGCCGAAAAAATTCAGGAACCGGTTTCGAAAAGAGCGTTTTTGCAACATCTTCTCTTTCTGCAACAGAAATACCTTGGTCTAGAAGAGCCAGCGGAATTAAGGTTTGATCAAGGTACCATAAATGTGATTCCATTGAAACCATTGTGGCATCAATTCCATTCAAAATTGTTTCAGAATTCTGAACATATTGTTTTACGTAACCTCTTTATTTTGTCATTTGCCAATAGGCTTTTATATCATGGTAAGGCGCAGCGTAAGGTAAAGAGGTTTTTAAAAACCAGACAGTATAAAAGATTGAGATAAACTCAGGCGTAGACTGCACTTCGTTCTTTTGATTACCTGTCAATTCATAAGAAAGTTGCAAACTCAATATCTGAATCTTGAGATAATAAATAGCTTTGGACATAAAACGTGCTTGAGACACGCACCCTGGAGCTTGAATTTGAAAATCTCTTTCAGGGCATAAGTACATTAGAGTCAGTTTTAATAACTCCTTGTAGTCTCCTCTGGGAAAAGTGTTTTTTTTTAGAGCAATCTCACATTATTTTACAGCATCAAGTCTATGGATTTCTAAGAAAGCGGTAGCAATAGATTGGTTGTCATATTTTACAAACTTTGAAGAGTCAATGCTACTTTTAATGTCATTCCAGTTTAATTGGAACCGTTTAAACATTAGGTTTTCTGGAGACTTAGTTTTTCCACTGAACTGTCTTTCACAGAAGTGTTTTAGATGTAACTCATAAACATGCCTCCTGCAAGCCAGCTCTAGTAGAATTGAGTTTTGTTTATGACTAAACCTGATCTTTGTACCAGAGTCTTCATGTATTTGCAGCAGTTGTATCAAAACATAAACCTTTCACGTCATCACATATTCCATACTCATCCAGTATTTTAACTAAAGCATCTTATTGAGCTTGTCCAGTACCACAATCAATTGCTGGAATGCCAAGGAGCTTCATTTTACCATCAATATTTACCGAGACTGCAAATCGATCTCTTTTTGATTTTTTACCTTCTGTGATGTCTTCGATAATTTTTCCATCAAAATGTGCTATTATGGAAAAAGTAGCTTTAGCGGTAGCAATTTTTATATTTTTCATAAGAAATTTAAGAAAATGCTAAATAATATAAATTGTTTAGCATTTTCCCGAATAGATTTTTTTTGAGCTTGCCAAATAGTTGAATGAGACACTGAAAAATCAGCCACATTTCCGCCTGAACATACGATTAAATCGGTACATACATGCACTAGATCTCTTGATGAAATATTTTTTGAGACTGATGTCATGGCAATATCTTTAACAAAACCTTTCCTTAATTCTTGTTTTGCGTTACTTGGGCCGGGTTGCAATAAATCAAAAGAAATATCTGATTCTGTACTCACGTCACTGATATCTGAGAAAAGCTCTAGATCTGTAGTTGATTCGTCTATTTGGGGTGACTGTTTAATATTACAACTTTTTAAAGGCTTCTTATCTTTATTTACCATTTTATATCTTATGTCTTTGCTCCCCAAAGTCATTAGATGACTGGACTTTTGGTCTTTTAAAAATTTGATATCAACATAGTATGAAAGTTGATCAAGACTCGTTTTTTTAAGATTTCCTTCATATTATCTTTACCAATCCAAAATACCTGCTCCCCCTTCTTTTTGAATTCTCCCCTAGATTTCTCTGCTGCTTTAGAGTCCTTATTCTTACTTTTCTTTAATTTCTCCCAACCATCGATTAAACGAGTAATTATTCCTGAAAAAATTACGATAATACATTAAATAAAATAGAAATATTAACTTTAAGATGCACCTTATATTTTGTATTATTAAGCTGTAATCCACACGTAATAACAACTAAAAAAAATTAGTTGTAGTGGTACTACAAAAAAACCTTAATCATCTACTAGCTTATTAAGTTCAAATGATTATACAAATTTATAATAACTATTTTATTATAAATTGAAATTATAAAACTTACCTTATAGATTTATCCGTTAATAATCTATCTTTATAACCTCCGTCTAACCATGGTTTTTTTACTGCAAAATGAATACAGTTGTCAGGGCAATTGACAAGTCCGGAGCACTTTGCGAATTTATCGGGCCCATCAGTACAACCAATAAACTTTTTGGATGGAGTTAACTTGTTACTAGATCTTTTAAACTGAAAGTTAAGAATTAATTCTTTATTTGTTGCAAAAGTTATCTGAGTTAAGTTTTCTATCAGGCTTTCTTCTTCAAATAAATATGCTCTAGCTTTTAGTCTCATAATTTTAGTCATTTTGAATATTATTTAAAAAAATATTGGAGCACTTATTATTAGTAACGCAAATTTAGTTTAAATACTTTGTCTTTGCATCGGAAAGTAGTTGTTAAATTTTAAATTATTATTTAAGTACCTTGGTATATACATTTTTTAAAAATATTTTCCGATCAAATTTCCGGATTTTAAATTTATTGCGCTCTAATGTTTATTAAGTAGGGGCCATTTAGGTTAATGTCCAGGGCATGTTACTCCATGGATCCAATTATTATTTTTTTTTTAGACTTAATTTAACACTAATAAAAAAACTATTCAATTATAGTTTTTTCCGTGTTTGGAAACAGTTTATTAGGAAAAAAAAGTTTTTTATTTGCCACCGAGTAATAAAATAGGTTTTTGTGAAAGAAAATTTGGATTTTTCACCAATTTCAAAACATTCTGTAGACTAATTTCTTAATTTTTTCGACATGCTCTTTTTATGTGATAAACATTCAATCCAACATATAACATTTAAAAAAAAAAAAAAAAATTTAGATAAATTTTAAGGTCCCCGCCAGGCGTTTAAAACACCCGACAATTTTGGCCCAAAATCAAACTGGCAGGGACCCTAAAAATTAATTTTTTTTTTTTTTTTGCTCAAATTTATTTTTAAACAAATAGTCAATTTATAGATCAATTCGCGAGTTCGATTTCAAAAATTGATAAAATATGAAACACCCTAATATACATATACATTGACCCTTTAAATTAGATTTAATTATTTTTTAATTATTCCAGGACATAATTACTACATAGCCCTCTACATAGCTAATAAATAGCCTGATATATAAGTACTACATAGCTTGAAGAAAACCCGCAAAAAAAATTATATTTGTGGTCAGGTACCAATTGCAATTGTACACTATTCTTGTCCAAGCTTGCCATATCTAACAATAAATTGAAATTAGATCATAAATTAGACATTTTAATGTATGAAATCAAAAACAAAATTTTTATAACTGACTCTTATTGTCATGAAGTGCAAGTGTTAACACTTGCATCAGAATCATGGACCCATAAAGAGATATCAAGCTACTGTGAAATGTCTGAGTATCTTGTTCAAACTTAAAAAATAATCAAGGGATGCTATCAATTTCAAGAATAAAATTGGAAACACTGTTTCACTAGAAAGAGTCAAGGTAGGGATTAACTTTTATAAAAATGACAGATTTTTAAGAATGTTGCTTTGAAATTTTTTTTTTTAAGTGTTAGCAAAAATCACCATGTTCATAATGGATTATTACTACCCAATCCTGATAAACAACATGTTGCATTTAAAAATGGTTTTCCTAATCTAAAGGTTAGTTATCAAAGTTTTTTACTCTAAAACCCAAGTTGTGCATTACAGCTAATGCATCAGATACTTATAAGGTAATTGTATTTATACCAAAACAACTTTTTTCTAATTGACTTAAATAACTGGAATTAAAATTAATGACTTTAATTGTTTGTTCTTTTTAAAATGCAGAGTGTTTGCTGTACCATTATAACCTATGTCCTTTTATTAAAGCAATAAAAAGTTTAGTGCAAGTGTTTAAAGTTCATGAGCTAGAAGATGATGTAATATTCAAGCAATGGCAGAGTACTTACTGAACATCACAACTGTTAAAACCATCGCCACTAGATAAATTTAATGATTTCTTATGTGACAGTACTGACAAACTTACCACATTCATATATTGCAAATAATCAAAGTAGATACTTAAAAAACTGTAAAGATAATCTTAACCAAAACAAATGCCTAAGTTTAGGAGATTTTGCTGAAAATTATCAGTTTTTAGACTAGAATGAAGATTAAAGTTATCACTGCAAAAAATGTCAGTGTTTATTTTTTCCAATTGTTTTTCAAAAGAAATCATCAATCCCAAACAAATCTTTTTATTACCTTTCAGAAGATGTCGATCATGATACAGGGTTTGTTTATAAGATTAAATATATAATGTATATATAATGTATCATATATTAAATTTTTTTTTTTATGGATTTGCGACACTATTTAAAAGGTATCAATTATCAATCTATCAAACTATCAAAATATCAATCAAACTATCAAATTTATTAATCTTTGTTGTCAGGTCGTAGTCTTTTGTCAACACTTTGTTGTCACATTTGTAGAGACTTAGATTTAAATGCTGAGTGGATAATTTTTTTAATCATGAAAAAGCCATGGTAAATCACCCTGTGATGATATTGTTTGTTGGCTGTTAAAAAGTAGTTTGTCAAGAGAGTCTAAAACAAGTAATTAATGGGCAGAATTTAGATGGATAGATGAGTTTAATTTTTTGTGTAATCTTTTTGTAAAGATTACACAAAAGCCAAAATAACTTTTTTTTTTTAATTTTTTTTTAGAGATTTTTTTTTTTAGAAATTGACCAAATTTAAGCAAATTTAAAAAAAAAGATATTTAGATAGAAATGATAACATAACGTCCTGTCACAATATAAATTTTAATTAAATTATGCCACAAATATTAAAATATGCCACATATAAAACTTTCTGTCGCAAGGACCAATCATCATTTTATCTCTATTAGTTCAAAGTAGAATAAGTTATTAAAAAAATCTAAATTAAAAAAATTTAAAGATTTTTAAATATTAACAAAATGGATTGTATTGCATGTTTTTAGAGTTTCGGTGGATAGGTATTGCTGAAGATGTAAGTGAACTTAATATTAAAGTCAGGTTTATGCATCCACATGGACCATTTAAAAATTTCTTTTAGTCAGTGAAAAATGATGAGTGTTGGGTGCTTAACTCCAAAGTTATATGCATAATTTCTACAATCACAACAATATCAGGTTGTACATATCTGATATAAATTTAAAGAATATTAGCAGTTGGTTGAAAAGTTCTTTAAATTTTTAAACAATTAGCAGTTAGTTGAGAAATTAAAATTTTCAAAGTTCTGAAAAGTTGTTTTTTTTTGAGTGCTTGTTTTGATTAAATATTTCAATGATTAGGTACAAATCTATTTTTTTTGGTAGAACAAAGATAAAGTTATGATATAAGATCAATATTTTTTCAATAGTTTTAGGGTAACATTTTGGCTCCAAAAAGTATTATTTTTTAATAATTTTGAATAAAATTGAATAAACAAGGCACTTCTTGAGACTATCTAATCCTTTGAGTAGTATTTTTAAATTCCCTGAGCAAAAATCTATTTAAATTCAAATTTTAGAAAAACATCTCTTCAAAATAATCTTACTCTCTTAATCACAAAAATGCTAAACCAGCATTATTTTAACTGACGCAACAACCCAGGTATATTCTTAGCTCAAATTTTTGTAATTTTTTTAATACGGACTATAAAAGTAAAACAATTCTGAGATGTTTAGGTAACAAAGTTATTTTTTTGTGGATGATTTCTTATGGATTTACCCAATGATATTATTTTCTGCAGGGGCTTCAGTGCATATATCGATTGTTGGTTTGGGAAGGCTGTATCTATGCATAAAAAACGTCTTTTTTGAATTAGAAATTTTTTTATTTTTAAAAAGTCAAGTGAAAAAAATATGTTCGTGCTGTGCTTACATGGATCCACAAGAAAAAAAACATGTTTGTGCAGTTCTTATATGCATTCACACGATTAAATGAGTAATGAATATTTTTATATTTTAGAGAATTGTTAGCAGAGTTTCAAAGGAAATGTCAAGGTTAGTTTTATTACAAAATTTTTTGTATACTTTAATAGTATTGAGTATTGGTTCTTTACAAATTAATAAATATATAAAAATTTTGTAATTCGAATTATAGTATCATTTTCCTTAGAAAATATTGTGCTTTAAATTTTTTATTTTAAAAATAGGAATTTTTTTATATCTCAAGATTAACCAATTTCTGTTATGATTTCCTAATTTAAAGTTTGTAGGGTAGAGTGAGGTAATATGGATTGTTGGGGTAATATGGATAATTTAATAAGTATGCATGGAGTAAGTTATCTTTAAAAAAATGCTAAAACCTGAAACTTATAAACAGTTTACACATATAATTAGCTTTTTTATTTTGCATTAACAATGTTTTTATTTGATTAACATAGCTAAAATGTAAAATAAGTTGTTTTGAAAAAAACATTAAAAAAATAATGCTTTGAAACTACTGTCTACAGACTTCAGTAATATTACGTAACTAAATACAATAATGTAAATTTATTCATTAAAACATGATGTAACAACATGCAAAATTTAATTTATAAGTTCTTTCACTCATATTGACAAATAAACAAAAATTTAAAATGGTGTAAAATGGATATACAGGTAAAATGATAGTAGGGTAAAATGGATATATAAATATATATATCACTTTTGCTTTTTAAAATAGTATTATATAATTTTCAGTTTTTAAAATAGTATTATAGATTATTAAGATCATAGCATTTATTTTTGATGAATGGCTTGGATAAACCCTTAACTCCCATCAAAATATTTTATATTTTATTTTTATATTCCTTTTAACTTAATTTATTTTATAATATTTCAGATAAAATAATAAAACTGAATAAATTATCAAATAGGACTCTGTACACAAAATGTCATAGTCTTCTGAAATTCCTTATGGGACATTTTATAGAAAATCCTGTGATCGAATCCAAATAAATTGGAAGTGGTTGTGGGTTTGTTTTAATCAATACTGATGATAAAAAATCTATAAGAAGCCCTGATGTACTTAGCTGATAAGGATTTTCCTAAAGATTGAAAAGATATCAATATAATGGCGAAATCCTATATAACTTTTACTAGAGAATAAATTCCATTAAAGACAACTGACGAGGAAAAAACTGGTGGTTATCTCTTAAAAAAGTTCTTGGGAAAAGAAAACCTAAACTTTTAATGAAAACAAGAGCTAATGATATTTCTTTACAATATTACCGATATTTTAAGTTATATGAGAAGACATTATTCAATAAAAATTACTTTGATAGACCACATTGTGTCTTTATAACATGTGATACCTAGAAAAATACCTGGATAAAAGTTTGGTGGACATAAATTGTTTAAGGAGTGTTGCAAAATCATTGCAACTTATGCTGTTGTAGTAAATTTAATTCTCTACAAATTGCAATATATCTTTTAGCAAACAAATATTTATAATGGCAAACAAAGTTATCTCAAAACAGGAAGATGTCAGAAAGCGCTTGTACGCGTAATCAATTTGCATCTGGATATGAAGAAAAGTGAGACACTTCATGATCGAAGACGCATCAAGGTCGACCCTGTATGATATTCTGCAGCGCAAGTCGCTCAAAATAGGCCCTGAAAGACAGCGTGGAACTGGATGGGTGACAATCAAGATGAACACAAAGCGAATCACCATGCTGAAAAAGTGAATCAATCATAGTGACGAAGTTAGCCAGCATCAGCTAGCCCGCAAGTATGGTGTCAGTTAAAAGCACATATCAAAAACAATTAGCACCAAGACAACAATCAAATACAAAACGAAGAAAAAAGTTCTAGATCAAACTCCGCAACAGAAGTCAGCCATATGTCTAAAGTATGCCCACCTGGCCAGAGTTTTCAAGAAAAAGAAGGTGATTATCAACGACGAGACCTGTTTTTCATTGAGCAATAAAGAGCTATCTGGAAGCCCTGGTTTCTACACTTCTGACGTCGACAAGACTCCAGAAGCTGTTAAACTCAAGGGCAAGTCCAAGTTTAAACCAAAGGTACTTGTTTGGATTGCTATGTTTGAGGATGGCCTGTCGAAGCACCTGGTGACACCTTCTTTCAGCCGAGTGAACAAAGTTCGCAGACATGGTATGATAAACTTATAATTTTTTTTAAATCTGAAGCTTCATATGCTTAACTTTAATTATCTTTTTACAGAAATAAAATTGTACCTTTAGTCTCAAAGTTATAAGTTTTTTAGTTTAGTCTGGATTTCTAGGTATTACATGTTAGATGAAACAGGATGTACATATCTTAATGCAGGAAAAATCTTTGTTTGAAAAACATAAAAAACAGCATATTACCGGTAAATCAATGTTGCAAGAAGAAGAGAAGAAAAAAGTTAAAAAGAAGACTGTATTAGTGAGGAAAAGAAAACTGACAATTACCCAAGAAAACTTGGCATTTTAAATACATGTAAAGAGATAAGTGTGATACATATATCAAATATAAAATGAGTATCCATATTACCCCACTAGTGGGGTAATATGGATATATAAAAGTTGTTGTTAAAAAAGAATTATTATTTTAGTTATTAAAATTATATTTATGATCTACTCATTGTGAAGTTATTGTAAACACCCTGAATTTAAAGAAAAATAACAAATAAGTTTTTATGGTGGTTATAACCTAAAAAATAAATTTGTATATAAAAAAATAACTTTAAATTTCTTTCTATATTACTCCACACCACCCTACTCTAAGATAATAGTTGTCTATAGTAATGAAATAGTTTTGTATAATAATAAAGTAAAAAAAAAAATTAAAAATGAGTTGAAGTGATTTCCAGAATTTTATAAGTAACTTCTTTTTAGTAGTAATTCTCCAGCTTCTCTTGAGCGTAAGTTTTTTAGTAGAAAACTTTTTTAGTAGGAAACTCTTATACATGTTAAATATTTTATAGAAAGAAAAAAAAAAAGAAAGTTCTGAAGAACTTTTACAAAATACACAAAAACTTTAGCAACAAAAACAAATCTAATCGATCCTGTTTTTTTTTATAATTCACAAAGATGTATGATTCTATGGATTGAGATAACTCTGTTGTTTTGAAATCTTATAGCAATAATTTACTTATATTTTAAGTAAATTAATGCTACTATATACAAATGTGTATATTTGTTTTCTTCATTTTTATAATATCCACGTTTGTGTTGTTAATTTTTTTGTTTTTTTTTGTTGGTATTGTTTTTTAGGTTTATGTGTTATTTATGCATGTTACTTATGATTATGTTACTTATATTGGTTTTTTATATTGTTTATGTTGTTTATGCTGGTCATCTTTAGGTTGCTAAGAAGTGAGAAATTCAGATAACCAGCCATCGAACCCCTTGTTTGTCCAATAGGCTGGCGTAGATGTAAACTTGTATTACATTGTTTCTTGGTTAGGATTATGAATGCTCGATCTTCTTGAGTCTTCTCACAGGCTTTTGCTTGTGCCTACGTAATCGAGGCTATGTAACTCTTCATGTTATCTCCTGATGAGGGTACAGCTCTAAAACTCAGTTTTATGGTTCTGAGGCCAGCTAGTGTTAAGTTTTTTGATCTTTGTGTTAGCTTTCAGAAAGGCTGATGCCAAAAGTAACCCAAAATGTTAAATAAAAAATCATCCCCACCACCTAACTGTTTTAATATATTTTTTGCAAATACTTGTGGTCTGTGAGAAACCTTTCTTCACGTGAGTCTTACCTCACCAATTTCACTAGACTTGCTTGCTTATTGTGAGACTAATTCAAATTCAGCTATTCTTCATATTGTATATATTTCACTTATGGTGAGACTAATTTAAATTCTGCTGTTCTTTCTTCAGATCTCAGTGTTAATGGTTACTATCCTTTGATTTGCAAAGACTTCAATATTCACATGCTTGATTTGGGGAATACATATGCATCAATTTACCTGTTTGTTGTGGAAACAGGTTCAAATACTTTGACCATTCTTTTATGTACTTTGGGTTGGCACCTCTTCACTCTATCACCTTTCTCTTTGTTCTCTATTGTTTATCTTTTTCCCAAGACTGCATTTTTTTTAGATGTAATTTTTGGTCAAATTGACCAGGCACTTTCTTTTTACCTTTCTGTCAATATTGCTGTTATCAGAGACCTTAATGCTTATCACACTAAATGGAAAATCATTCTGATGCCACTAACTCTTCTGGCACTTAAGCCTGTAATTTCTGCATTTCTCAATCTTTTACTTTGTGACTGTTAACTTGGTGGCTTGTTTTCCTGACAACCCTAACCATTTACCTTCACTCATTGATTTATGTTTTGTCTCTGACCCTAACTTGTGTTCAGTTTCTCCCTTTTCTCCCTTAGGTTTTTTTGACCATGTTATAATCTCTATAAATCTTTTATATCCTACTTTTTCTTCTGACTCCCATCATCGCGCTAATTTTCTACTAAAGCTGACTAAGACTCTTTTTGTGATTTTCTTTGTGGCAGTCTTCAGCCTGATGTCTCTTCTCTCTCAGCTGATAAATATGCCTCCAACTTAAACTCCTGAGTTCAGACAGAAATGGAAGCTTTTGTTCCATCTCACTGATCCCAAGTCAAACAGCATTCTAATCAATGATTTTTACTTTCTTGTGTTATATTTAATCGGAATCATTTTTTAAATCTTTTTCAAAACAATAATTCTCTTGAGGAAAAACAGGTATTCATTTTTGCAAGAAATCAATGTAAAAGGGAGCTGTCTGATGCTAAGCTCTGCTAATCTCAGTTCACTTAATCCCGTTTTTTATCTCAGAAATAAGGCTCCAGAAACTATTGAAAAATCGTCAACAGCATCATTAAATTGGATAGGTCTAACATTCCATCTCTCATTCATGGGACTGATTTTATTACTCCTTTTAGGGAAAAGGCAGAACTGTTTGCAAAGAATCTTTCTTATAATTTAATTTTTGAACCTTATGTCGATTCTCTTCCTTTCATTCCAATTAAACAGTTTTACCAATTGTTAGACATTCAAATCATTCCAGCTTCTGTTGCTAAAGTCATATCTCATCTAAAGTCTTCTACGGCTTGTGGTCCAGTTAACATTCCTGTCATAGTCTTACAAAATTATTTTCCAGAAGTCTCTTTAATTCTGAATTATTATGAACTCTGAACTATTTAACAAGTGCTTGACTAAGTCTTGTTTTCCTGTCTGCTAGAAAGTGGCATCTGTTGTTTCAATTGTAAAAACTATGAGGAACATTCCAACCCTCCATTTATTAACCAATCAGTCTTCTTTCTGTTATTAGCATGATCTTTGTGTCATTGATCAGCAAGTTTTTTACATCCTATCTTAAAACAAATAATTTGCTCAAGTTCCTCAAGGTTTTATCCTTAGTCTTTTTTTTTTTTGAAGATCATTAATGATCTTCCTGACAAGCTTACATCTAAAAAGTAGCTATTTTGCTTATGGTTCAACTTTATACTCTCTTTTTGATTGCTTAGAACAAGCAGGGAATCTTAAATCTGATCTTTCTTCTGTAACTAATTGGGTCTTGCAATGGCTAGTGAATTTTAACTCCAACAAAACTCAGCTACATACTGCAAACAACTTTTGTAATTCTGTCGACATTCCTATATTATTGAATGGCAACCCTATCACTGAGTCCACTTCTTTACCTCTTCTTAAATTGACGTTCACTGCTGACCTTTCATGGAAACCATATATACGATCTAAATTAACATTTGCTAAGGTTTCTTTTCTTTATCCTGCACATCATTTTCTTACTTTTGATTCAATTCTCTACTTCTACAAATCACTTTTTTGTCTTTGTATGGAAAACTGTTGTCATGTTTGGGCTGGTTCTTCTTAAGATGTTCTTCTTAAGATGTTCTTCCTAATCTAGACAAGTCCAAAAACGCATTGGAAACGTAGTTTGACTCACTCCATCTGCTAAGCTTGAGCCTCTCTTCCATTGTCATAAAGTTGCATCTCTTTTTTTATTTATTTACGAATGCTATTAATCATGTACCATTCTTAAAATATATACAAAACAGAATAAATTTTATGTACATGAATAATTTAATAAGTATAAAATACTATGTTTATATATAAATAAGTTAAATTTGTTTATATATAATTATCTTTAGATATAATAAATTCATAAAAATATTTTTATTTTTAAATAGTAAATCATCCATACATTATGCTAATTACGTTGTAAGTGCTTTCCAATAGTGTGAATTTCTATAAGCAAAATTTATTATACTGTTATTCAAAGAGTTATGTATGAATATAAAATATGTATATGTAAAAGTATGATATATGTGGATATAAGCTATGCTGTATGAATAGTTTACTTTTTTATGGAAGGAAGTTAGTAGGATTGAAATGTTTGATAGCATTAAGAAATTTATATTTAAAGATAAATTCAAAAATGTTTCTCTTTTAAATTATAAAAAGGCTTTTACAGTTCCAAGGTTTAGAAAAAGTAAATTTTTCGACTTTACATCTGTAAAGAAGTTTTTTTAACAAATCATATTACAAGTGTAGCAGGTGATTTCTATATAACACATTCTTAGAATAAAATATATAAGAAAACTTGTTATAGCTTGTAAGTGTTAAAGATAGTATAGCACTGTGAATACTATAATAGTTATAGATGTAGAATTGTGGGTTTGTTAATTTAATGCAGTAGTAAGTTAATGATAGAACACATGGCTCACAACTAAGAAATGGTTCAAATCCACCCTACGTCTCTGAAATTACAGCACCCAACCTGTTTCTCTGCTCCTTTAAAGTGACCTTTAAATCATAACAACTTCATTTTTCCTATTTCTGAGGGTTGCATCATTTTTAAATTAATAAAAAGATGTTAACAATTAGTGCAATGATTATAGTAACATCTGGAAATCAAACTATAAGAGAATTTTCTGTTGGCAGTATTATATTTTAAATGTGATAATATGTCATTACGTTTACGTGTTTTTATGTTGCCATTGCATATTTATTTTCATTGTCAATTTTTTTTTATTTAGTCCTTTATTGTCACTATTTTGCCATCATCATTTCTAATTAATAAACTGAAAGTTTTATATTTTTTTTTATTGTTATTACTGGTTATTTAAAAGCTCTTTCTACTTTTTATATATTTATATATTTTTCAAAATTGAGTATCCTCCTTGAATAAGTGGCCCCTAGATCTAAATAATTTTATATATTATAAATTGCATTATTTTTTCTATAAAAACAATTTTAGATATTTGTTTTTTGTTTTGTATTTTAGAACTAGAGACACAAAAAAAGAATACAAATGAACTAAAATTAAAGCTTGAAATATGTTATGGGTTAGTTTTTACTACATATAAGTATATGATTCAGCAAAAATGATTTTAAGATCTGAATAAAACTCAAAAACTAGATCTTTTTTAGAAAGATTAAAAACCACTTTTTTTTTTTTCAAGTAAATAAACTTAAAGATAAATAAAAGTATATAGATTCAGCTTTTGAGAAGAATGAAAATTTCAAAAAATTATATGAAACATAGTCATTAGTATAACTGATTAAATAATTATATACATTGGTAAAACTTCTTTTATAGATTGGTAAAAACCACATTATTATTTTTTTAAATAAAATATTATAAGTAATATAAACAAATATATTTATATAGACTAAGCTTTTTTAAAGACAATAGCACATTTTTTCATAAAACAATGATGTATTATCATTGTTATAACTTATTATTATATAATTATATACATTTTATATGGTAATTTTATACATTCTATATGGTAAAACTATAATTATATACATTTTATATGGTAAAACTATTTATATACATTTGAAAAACAACTCAATTTTTTTTCTTTATTAAACTACTTTTTGTGATGAAAAGAAGTAATATATTATTTTCTTATTTAAATATTTTATGTTTACTTTTTCTTTTCAGTTTTTATTTAAACATTCTTGTTAAATTGTAAATATAAATCAGCTGTAAACATAACTTAATAACACCATCTTTGTCTGCTACCCTTTACTGCTGTAAGGTGTATAATATACTCTTACATTGGTTTAATAAACCTTATCACTATAATTTTATAGCACTCATGTTTGATATTTTTAAGTGAAACTGGTTCTCTTCGAATTCAACTGGAAAAAGCTCTTCAAGCCAATGAACCTTTAAAAAAGGTATTATTCTTTTATTTGCTAGTAATATATAAATTTAATATGTAAATTCACTAGGTATATTTTATATCCATGTTTTATAATTACCAAACTAATGGTTCATTAGGCATAATAAAAAAACACTTTTAATAATGTTAAATATATGGTTAAAAATATGGTGGTCATAAAATATATATTTACAAAATATGTTTATGGTATAATATATGGTCTTTTTTTTACAATATATACAATTTTCAATTTCTTCCTTTTTTTGTTTTGTAAATTTTTTACATTGACAAATATTGATTTAATAATGAAAGCAGATACTCTATGCCACTTGTTATGAAATTAGCTTTTTTACAGTCTAGATTAGGGATGATATAAAGGTGTTTTTATTGGTGTAGCTGTTGGAACTGGTGATTTTTTTATTAGTCAAATTTGGATTTGGAGATAAAAAATAGAACTGTCTGCGCAAGTCTCATGAAATAAAAAAATAATTCAGTACAACATTTTAATACCAACATGAAGTTGTCTTGAATTGAAATTTTCAAGCTTCATAAAAATGTACTGTGTTATATATTTAAATCTTCATTATAACTAGGGATGTACCAAAATTTGTGATTTTTAGGTCGATCCATTTCTGGCTGAATTTTTTAAATTAAAGTTAATGTTGTAGCCAGAGATGTAAAATCTATCTAAACTGATTGTATCTTTCAAAGCCAGTTAAGGTTCTGTAACTTCCTTATCTAGACACTATGTAAAAAGCTTGATAGTAAAAAAATTGTTAGATCTTCTTGCTCTTTGTGACACTTTAAATTCGATTTTATTGAACTTTGAGTTTTTTAGTGATATTTGAGTCTTTGAGGGGATTTTGTTAATGATCTAGTGTTATGGCTCTTTGTATTTACAAAGACTCTAATAGTTATATACATTAAATGGCTCTACACTAGTATCACTGACCTTGCTAACTTAAAGGATTAAAGTTTTTATCTTTTTAAATCTCTTGCTAAGATAATATAACTTTGTGACTTGTTTTCCATATATCACTAAGTACTTACTTTCATTAATTTGATTTACCCCTATCACTTGATATATGTCTTGCCTCTGACCTCGGTGGTTTAGACCATGTTATAATCTCTCTAAAACTTTTATCTTATACTTTTAAATTTTATTCATCATCAATTTTTTGATACCACCTAAAGACTGGAATTCATTTTGCTACTGCTCAGAGTCAGTTTTTTTAAAATACATTTACTGATGATCCACTTTTTACTTCACCTTAGTAAACAATAAAATCATAAAAATAGTCTATTAGATTTACTTCTATTTCAAATTTTGATTTCTGATTTGTTTAGTTTTTTTGATTGGTAAGTCATTATATTGTCTATTAAAAACAATTATGATTTCATTTTTGTTTATTAATCTACTGTATGCTGATATTCTGAACATGTTTAATATCCTCAAACTCTTTTGTTATATTTAAAAGTTTTTGATAAAATGGAAATTAGTAAATATATTGTATTAAAACAAAGCGATTATTTATTATGTAAGTTTCTTTATACATTCTCACAAATAGTAACAACTCTCATCCTAAAGTTAGCATCAATAAGTTCTACTTTTTTCATTTTTTTTCATTCTTATACACTACATTAGCCATTCATTGGTCATTATCATCACTATTTTTTTGTCATTATTAAAACTCTGTCACTAGGTAAGTCATATACAAATAACTTCACGATTAATAATTCTAAATCCGAGTCTCATTTAAATTGTTAAAAATTTAACTAAATGAAGACTGCATGTTTGAAATAAATTGCATGGCATATGCAATTAAATTTTGTTGCATGGCATATGCAATTAAATTTAGTTGCATGGCATATGCAATCAAATTTAGTTGCATGGCATATGCAATTAAATTTAGTTGCATGGCATATGCAATTAAATTTAGTTGCATGACATATGCAATTAAGTTTAGTTGCATGCCATATACAATTAAATTTAAAGCCAAATTTTTGGTAAATGTTCTGTAGTTTAAAAGCAAAGTATAAACTTCATCAAAACAAAATTAATGTCTCTGATATTGGATTGTTAAACATTTAACATAATCTAATTTTCTTTTTTAAATATATTCTCTCCCCCCCCCCCTTCCTTAGTCACTTAGTTGAGGAAGCGTTTGTTGCTTGTATGCAATCCCTATTACTCTGAAAACTTGACAGTTGTGCAGAATAAAAATGTTGCAGGCTTGCTTGTTATGAGATTTTGCTGCAGAAAATAGTGATATTAAAATAAAATTTATTTTAATATCACATTAAAAATCATTTAAATTCTAAATACCTCAAAATTAAATAATATTATTATTAAAAAAATTGTCATTGGAGTTTAAATATATTGTTTGGAAAAAAAAAATTTAATTTATTTTTCATTTTAATATTTGCTAAGGTTCTTCTCTTCCAGGTCAGGTCAGGATAATCAAGATCAATCTTGCTACTGGTATCACGTAACCCAGTACCACCTGCCACAAGCCCTGCTGCCTTGCAGAGTGTGCTCTTCTTAGGCAAAGGCTATGAGAAATAAACTTCGACTAAAAATTCCCCTGCCTTGGGGCTCTTGGTTGAGTAAAGGCTAGAGATGGTGTCTTGATAAAAACACTCATCTTGGGCAGATGTTAACTGCATCCAGCTAAACATCCCCTGCCTTATGGCTCTTGGTTTAGTAAAGGCTAGAGATAGTGTCTCAATAAAAATACTTATTTTGGGCAGATGTTAACTGCATCCAGCTACTGTCTTGTAGAAGGCCTCCTATGCAAAGACTTTAGGGGTAAGCAGAAAAATTCTGCTAACCAGCCTCAATCCCCTTTTTTCATCTATTAGGCTGGCGTAGATGTAACCTGTGTTACATTGTTTCCTGCCTAGGATCATGAATGCTGGTTCTCCTTGACTCTACTCATAGAATTTTGCTTATGCCTCCTTGATTATGGCTATGCAACTCTTCCTGTTATCTCCATATGAGGGTACAGCACTAAAACGCAGTTTAATGGTTCTGAAGCCGGCTGGTAGTAAGGTTTCCCGAACTCTGTGGTAGCTCTCAGAGAGGTTGATTCCATCAACAGCTGCAAAATATCAGAGTTTTAACAGTGTCATGTTGCGCATGGATGGTGCCTCTGTTAATGCTTTTGGTGTGCATTGTCAAGGCCACATAAAGAGCCCTATGTCACAGCTTATGGTTAATTAACAGGACTGAGACAACTGTATAGCTCATTGATTAGGAGGCTGTGCTTTATCTATGAATAAGTCAAGTTCTCATTAAACCCAAATCATGACCAAAGTAACCAAAAATGTAAAACCTAAAAAACCATCCCCACCACCTAAATGTTTTAATATATCTTTTACAAATATTCGTGGTCTGCGAAGCAACTTTCTGTCAGTTGAGTCTTACCTCCTGCAAAATTCACCAGACTTGCTTGCACTCAGTGAAACAAATTTAAATTCTGCAATTCCTTCTTCAGATTTCAGTGTTGATGGGTACTATCCTTTGATGCGTAAAGGCTCCAATAGTCACATGCATGGTTTAGGGGTATGCATACGCATTAATTCCCCTATTTGTCGTGAAATCAGGTTTGAATCCTTTAACCATTCTTTTATGTGCTTTCGCCTAGCACCTCTTCACTCTATCACCTTTCTCTTTGTTCTTTATCGTTCTCCTTCTTCCCATGATTGCACTCTTTTAGATGTTATCTCTGATCAAATTGACCATGTCCTCTCTCTTCACCCCTGTGCCAATATTGTTGTTGTTGGTGATTTTAATGCCCATCACACTAAATGGCTTGGCTCTAACACCACTAATCCTGCTGGCACTAAAGCCTTTAACTTCTGCGTTTCTCAATCTCTTACTCAGATAGTTAACTTTGTGACTCATTTTTCTGACAACTCTAATGATTTACCTTCACTCCTTGACTTATGTCTTGTCTCTGACCCTAGCTTATGTTCAGTTTCTCCCTTTTCTCCCTTAGGTGGTTCTGACCACGCAATGATCTCTATAAATCTTTCTTCTCGTACTTCTTTTTTGGGCTCACCTTATCATCGCACTACTATTACCTAATATTACCCTAAAGCTGACTGGGATTCTTTTTGTGATTTCCTTCGTGATGGTCCTTGGGCTTATGTTTTTTTTCTCTCAGCTGATAAATGCGCCTCCTACATTCAGGCTGGAATGGAAGCTTTTATTCCTTCTCGTCAGTTTCAAGTCAAGCCTTATTCTACTCCATGGTTTTTTCCTTGTGCGGCTGCTATATCCAATTGTAATCATTTTTTCATCTTTTTTGAAAGAACAACTCTCTTGAGAACAAACGGCTATTTATTATTGCAAGAAATCAATGTAAAAAGGTGCTTTCTGATTCTAAACTCCATTATTCTCAGTTTACTAAATATCGCATCTTATCACAGAAGTTAGGCTCTAAAGACTTTTGGAAAATCTTCAACAGCATTGTTAACAAGGGTAGAACTAACATTCCATCTCTCATTCATGGGACTGATCTTATTACTTCTCCCAAGGATAAGGCAGAACTATTTGCAAAGAACTTTTCTTCTAATTCCACTCTTGAATCTTATGGGCATTCTCTTCCTTCCATTCCAGTCAAACAGGTTGCCCCTTGTTAGACATTCAAATCACTCAGGCTTCTGTTGCTAAAGTCATATCTCAATTAAGCTCGTCTACAGTTTGTGGTCCAGACAACATTCCTGTCACAGTCTTGCAGAATTGTTCTCCAGAACTTTCTTTAATTCTCTCTAAACTATTTAACAAGTGTTTGACTGAGTCTTATTTTCCTGCTTGTTAGAAAATGGCATCTGTGGTTCCAGTATTCAAAAACTCTGGAGAAATTTCTGACCCCTCCAATTATCGTCCGATCAGTCTTCTTTCTGTTATTAGCAAAGTCTTTGAGTCTTTGATCAACAAATTCCTCACATCTCATCTTGAGTCAAATAAACTACTGTCAGACAATCAATACGGTTTTCAATCCTCTTGCTCTACAGCCGATTTGCTAACTGCTGTAACTGAAAGATTTTATCGTGCATTAGATGGAGGCGTTGAGGCTAGGGCTATTGCTCTTGACATATCTAAAGCTTTTAACAAAGTTTGGCATGCTGGTCTTCTCCATAAGCTTGCTTCATTTGGTGTTTCTGGGAAAGTTTTTGAGATTATCAAATCATTTCTTTTTAACCGGTTTGTTAAAGTCATCCTTGAAGGCCAACATTCTTCTTTATTTCCAGTAACTTCTGGGGTTCCCTAAGGTTCCATCCTGGGCCCTGTTTTGTTTCTTATCTACATAAACAATCTTCCTGACAACCTTTCATCTAAAGTAGCTTTTTTTGCTGATGACTTTATACTCCTGTCTTGACAAAAAGTCTTCTCTTTTTGATCGTCTAGAACAAGCAGCTGATCTTGAATCCGATCTCACTTCAGTAATAGATTGGGGTTTACAGTGGCTTGTGAATTTCAACTCTAACAAAACCCAGTTGTATACTGCAAACAACTACCGTAGTATGGTCAACATTCCTATATTAATGAATAGCAATCCTCTTACTGAGTCCTCCTTTTTACGTCTTCTTAGATTATCGCTTTTTACTGACCTTTCATGGAAACCATATATACAATCAATTGCTAAATAAGCTTCTGCTAAGGTTGCTTCTCTTTAGCGTGCTTGTTATTTCCTTACTTCTGATTCCATTCTCTACCTCTACAAATCTCTTATTCGTCCCTGTATGGAATACTGTTGTCATATTTGGGCTGGTTCTTCTAACCATTCACTTTCTATTCTTGACAAGGTCCAAAATGCAATGTAAATGTTGTTGGACCTGGACTATCTGCTAAGCTTGAGCCTCTTTTCCATCATCGTAAAGTTGCATCTCTTTCTCTTTTCTACAAATACTATCATGGTCACTGCTCAAAGGAGTTATCATCTCTAGTTCCATCAACTAAAATTCATTCTGGTTTTACTCGTCATTCAGCTAAGTCTCATTTGTTTACTGTGTCTGTCCCTGCATGCTCTAAAAACTTTTATTCATCTAGTTTTTTTCCCCGCACTTCAATCCTTTGGAAATCTCTCCCATCTTCATGTTTTCCTGACTCATACAACCTTCAACTTTTCAAGTCTTCTGTCAACCGTTTCCTTGCTGTATAACTCTGTTCTTTTTTTTCCTAGTAATTCTCAATTTAATAGTGGTTGCTTGCAGCCTTGTTGGGAGTGAATGCAAATAAAAAAAAATTTAATAATTATTTTAATTTGAGTATATAAAAAAATGAATTTAAAATTTTTTTAAAATCAAAATTTAAAAATAAATTTATTATTATTTATAGGTAAAATATATTTAACATACGTAAAATATATTTAACATGCGTAAAATATATTTAACATACGTAAAATATATTTAACATACATAAAATATATTTAACATACGTAAAATATATTTAACATACGTAAAATATATTTAACATACGTAAAATATATTTAACATACGTAAAATATGAGCAGCTTCTTAACAAGGCCTAAAGTTGAGCATAGCACTTTTAGGAACATTGTGAATTAAAATTCTATTCCTATCAAAGATAATATTTCACTTCCACACCACTGCCATATAACTCAGAATTATTTTTATTCGTATATACAATTTTTTATTTTATTGAGAATTTTTTTCATGTAGAATTTTCAGTTGTTATTTTTTATTTATCAAGATTAATTATCAAAATTTTTATTAAAAAAGAGAATAATAAAATTAGTATTATTAGGATAAAAATTATTATTAAAGAGTTTTGAATTTTTTTATAAAGATTTTAAGTTTTTAGTCATAAATATTGGTACAGAATATGATTATTGTTTAGACACTTTGTTGTTTTTTTTAGACACTTCGTCGTTTTGAAAATGAAAAAGCGCAATTAGAATCTGAGGTTCAGCAGCTCAAAAATGTTCTCAAAAGTAAAGAAGTATGAATTTTTATTTAACTTTTGAAAAATCTTTTATTATATCCTCAGGTTTTTTTTGAGAAATTTATTTTTGACTAATATTTTGTGTATAATTTGAATTATTTGAATAATTTAATTAAAACCTTTTGATTTTGATTAAAATTAAATTAAGATATTCTTAAAAGTAATTAATAATTCATTTCAAAGATTAGTAATTGTATTTAGAGTAAATCACTTTAGAGAATGTTTTGATTTCTTTAACTAATGTCCGATCATTCTTCTCTCTATTACAAGAAAAGTCTTCTTGGTTTTCGCATCTTTGTTTTAGAAGTCGCATCTTGGTTTTAGTAACTTACTTTCTGATAATCATTATGGTTTTCAATCTTTTCCCACTACGGCTGACTTGCTAACTGTTGGGACTAAAAGAAAACATTGCGCATAAGGTAGACATATCTAAAATGTTTGATAAATTTGGTATTTTGGTCTTTTCCATTAGTTTGTTTCTTATGATGTAATCCTTGAAGGCCAACACTCCTCTTTATTTTCAGTAGTTCCTGGGGTATTTCAAGGTACTCACTTTCTGGCCTTGTATTGTTTCTTTTACACAGTTATGATCTTCCTGACAATTTTACATCTAAAGTGGCTTTGTTAAAGGGATCCCAAATTGCTGAGACAAGTAGCGTTTATATTAAAAAGAGTAATAAAAGAAAATGTTTACGCTGAACATTTATGAGTAAAACAACATAATAAATGTATACTCAGAAAAACAACTTTGTTGTTTTACTTATAATTCTCTGTCTCCATGTTAGCCAGTTACTTTAATTCATTAAAATATACACTGCAATCTACAAACTCTATAATTTATTCAAGCGCATTTAATTTTAAAGTGTTTTAGTATATGACATCATTGTAGGGTGTTTTAGTATATGACATCATTGTAGGGTGTTTTAGTATATGACATCATTGTAGGGTGTTTTTTTTTTTTAATTCAATTTTTTTTAAATCAATATAATTTGTAATAGTTTTATTTTTTAAAATCATCGATTTACTAAAAATTTTGTAGGAAGGTAAACAGAAGAATGTTTTTTTATAGAGCGCAAAAACTAAGTAAAATTAGTAGTTTTAGGATACACTCTTAAAATATTATAAATATTCAAAAATTTTATTATAATTTTTAATTTTTTTTTCTTTTTATGTAAATGATGTGAGCTTTTTTTCTAGTTTATCTAAGCTGTTTCTTGCTTTGACGTATTTCTTCTCCTAACGAAATGGCATTTCACATTTTCATAAATTTTTAATTAGTAAAGAATTTTGGTAAACTGTATCATTTATTAGAGATATTTATTAGAGGTATTTATTAGAGATATTTGTCGAAATCTTTAATTTTTAATTAGAAAGTATTTATACGCTTAACAAATTAACAGATAGCTTTTTATTAATTAAAGCAATAATAAATGTTTTATGGCAATAAATCAAGGCAGATGATAATTAAACTTGTCAATGTGTTGAAACACGTGCGTTAAAAAACATAGATTTAATATTTCTCAATTTATGTCGTATTTGGCAAGAATTTTACATTTAAACCTGTTTCTTGAAATTACAATTCAAAAAACTAGAAAAATTGAAATTAAAAGGTTTTTTCAATAAACGATTTCAATTTTAAAATTGACTCAATATTGCTAGACTTTTTGCAATTTTTGACCCATAATTGTTCAATTTCAAAAATAATATAAAATAAATAGTTCATGTTTTAGAATAAATTTCAGTAAATATACTCTTACATGAACTTTTATGATGAATATGAACTTTTCAATTTAATAAGTTTTTAACAAGCATCAAAACAAAACTCATTTAATGTATAATGTAGAATTTTTTTCTTCAAAAGACATTTAGTAATTACTTAGCTAAATACTCATACACTTCCACTATTTTTTTTAAAGTGTTAATGCTGCTTTATTTTACAACTAAATTTAAATAAGTTTTTTTTATGAAGGATTATTCATTATTTTTTAATTTTTTGATAACTCTTTTATAATTACACAATATTGCTCTTATTTTTCTTGATTATGTAGAGAATTAATTAAACCTTTAGAACAAACAAATTCTGTGTTTAAAATGGAACTTTATGTACAAAACAAGATAAATTGTAAAGCATACTTAAAAGCTGCTAGTAGCAACTTGCGGTCAAAGTTTAAAAAAATCAAGACGCTGCCAGCAGCTTGCGGTAGTAAATAATACAAAATAATTTTTTTAACAGAATCTTAATAAGGATAATAATCAATTAATAACAATAAATATAACACAAAAATAATTTATAGCATTAGATAAAATATATAGTGATTTATGATAAAGAAAAACATTTTTTTTTTTTTAATGAGTAACTAAGCAAATTCTTAAATAAAAAAATTCTATAATTAGATGAAAAAAAGAATTTTCAGATTTTTTTTATTGAAATTCTACAATTATGTCATATACTAAAACTCTTTGGAATTAAACGTGCTTTAATAAGTTATGTCTGTATATTGCAGCGTATATTTTAAAGACTTCAAGCAACTGACTAACATGGAGGCGGAGAGTTTCCTTTAAAACAACAAAGTTAGTTTTTCTTGGTATGCATTTATTACTCAAAATATTTAGTCCAAACATTTTTTTTACCATTCTCTTTAATATAAACACAAAACTTGTTTCAGTAGGGATTCCTTTAATGACTCAACTTCATGTTTGAACAAAATGTCTTCTCTTTATGATTGTTGTGACAACAGGCAATCTTGAATCTGATCTCTCTTTTGTAATAGATTTGGGTTTGCAGTAGCTTGTAGTTTCTTCAACAAAACTGAGTTATTTACTGCAAACAACTATTGCAATACTGTCAACATTCCTATATTAATAAATGACAATTTTCTTTTCTTTACATATTCTTGGATTATTTTTCACTGACCTCTTATGTTGACCGTATACACAATTCATTGCAAAATTAGCATCTGCTAAGGTTGTTTCTCTTTATAGTGTTTTTTTTTGTGTGTTTGTTTTTGTTTATTTACTTCCCCAAGGCCATGAAGGCCACTACTGTTGGGAAGGCTACTCAAATTGTGGTTACAATCCTCTCTCAACTCTATAACTCGAAAACACGAACCTTTTGCGAACAAGGCAGCATGGAGACAACTTGGTGTCAACTTAACTTCTTCTTTTTTATTTTCTTTTTTTTTTTTCTAATAACTTTTTCTCAACATAATAGTAGTTGTTTGTACTGGCTTGGTCAGGAAGAGGGAGCGATCGCTCTTGATTGCTGACCACGGAAATAATATTTAGTTGTGAAAAGCTGGCCAGATTTTTAATTGGTTTTGAGAAAATTTTAAAAAGCAAAAAAAAAATGTGCTAAAGATTAATTGGACTAATGAGAGACAAAAAAACAATTACAAAAATTACAAAAAAAAAATTAGGAAAATAAAATATCTTTCAATGCATAAAAACTTAAAGGAAAATAAATTACGTTTAGAACAAATATTTTCGAAGCATCGCTCTTTTATAATTTTTTTATAAAATTAAGCGACGTTTTTTTATATACAGTAACATCGTTTGTTTGTTAAAAAATGTTCTTTATTTATCAAAGTTTGCAAGTTTTAGTTTTATCTAAGCTAAATTATTTTATAAATAAAAAAGTTAATTTGTTTAATACCTATTTTATGTTTGCCATGTTTGAAAAGTTTACATATTTGAAACAACTCTTCTTAGTAAAATAAACAAATAAAATAATTAAATCATTAAATTACTATAGAAATTAAATTTAGAAATCAACTAAAAAAGTTAAAAATACTTTTATGACGAGGAAGCTAAACTGCTTCATAATATCGCTGATGATGTTTAGTGAGTGGGCTTTTTAATTTTAATTAGTATTTAAAGCAGAAAAAAGTATAACGAGTTTTTAAGAATGGCAACTTAAGCGAAAATAGTTAGATTTAGTGAACCAATATCTAGAAACTTTCCTTTATATCTAATAACTTGCTATATATATTTATGTTCTGTTGTGACCTCTGGCGCAGTGCTTGTTCATCAGCGAGTTACTTTGTATGCATAATTGGTATTTAGTAACCAGAAACTTCTTATATGTTTGCTACATAATTAGTTTTATTAACTTTAACGGTTATTAAAAACTTCATTGAAAACGCAATAATTTTTGTAAGTCTTTGTTTACAAATTAAATAGATAAAAAACAGATACACAATATTACATTTACATAAAAAAATACATTCTCTTTAAATAAGTATATACTAATAAAATCTACAATTTATAATGAACTTTCAAAATTTTGACAATTTAAATAATATAAACTTAAAATATTTATCTACATAAACAAATAATAATAGTTTATAAGATTTATGGCTATGCAGATGTTATTATATTTTGTGGCTCCGAGAATGAGCCATAGAATTGATAATATATTCTTATAACAATCTATGCTAGAAATCTCATAACATAACAAATTGTGGATAACTCAATTTATAAAACATTTCAACAGAATACTCTAGAACTTTATTTTGCTTAGTCAGCGTATTTTTTGAACCAATAGAATTAGTTTGTTCGTTAATTTGGCAGGCTTTTAGAGTTCGCGAATATTCTTTTCATTCTTCCACACCAAGATGTTTTGAGAACATTCAAGTTTTTTTATGTTTCCATGTATGTCCGTAAAGCCAAAATTTATTGTTTCCTACATAAATTTAAATGTTCTCAAAACAACTAAAAAACCTGGCCGGTTTTTCGCAACTAAATATAATTTCCGTGGTCAGTATTCGAAAGCGATTACTCCCGCTTCCTGACCAAGCCTGCTTTTGACCCTGTTGGAAGAAACAAAAAATATTAATTACTATAAGAAGCTATATATCGATGGTTAAGAGCACAAAAGGAATATGTCCACTAACCATTGTTTTGAGAAATCTAAATTCGAAAGTTTGAAAACATACAATAATTCATGATATTTATTGTCATGATTTTTAACCAAATGCATTCCTCAATTAATTCTGTCTTGTTTTTTACAATTTTATTTTCATTTCTTTTACATACTTTAATACCTAATTTGTTAAATGTTTGCCTAATGTTTAATGTTGGACATATTCCTTTTGAGCTCTTAACCATTGATATATAATTACTATATTATCTAATTATCTATAGCTCTGAACTATACTATACTATATATAGCTCTAATTACTATATATATATATATATATATATATATATATATATATATATATATATATATATATATATATATATATATATATATATATACATATATATATATATATATATACATATATATATATATATATATATATATATATATATATATATATATATATATATATATATATATATATATATATATATATATATATATATATATATATATATATATATATATATATATATATATATATATATATATATATAGCTATTTTGAATTTAGAAATAATAGGAAAAGTTTTGTAAATTCCATTAATTAAATAAATAAATGTTTTATTTTACAAAATTAAAATTAGTAATTATGTATTTTTTTTTTAAATATGTTTTAAAGTTTTTAAGAAAATAGCTAGAATTAATTGGTTTTTATAACTTATGAAATTATGAAAAATGGTTTTTATAACTGTTGAAATTAATTATTTAAACTCAGACTGTGTACTCAAGTACAGAAAATCTTAGTCCAAGACTTGATGTGGATTTGAAGTATTTACTTAGAAGTAGAGTTATACAAAATGTTGTTATGCTTGGTTTAAAGTGAAGAAAAATTTTCACTTATATAACAGATTTTAAATTTACATCAAGTTGTAATGTTAACTCAATCTTGAATTTGAAGTATTAGATAGAACTTCAAGGTTTGAGTACAATATTATATTGTAAAACATTATTTATAAAACATTATTTCAAACTTCACATTAAAGTTTGAGTTTAAAATTACTAAAACAAAAAAAAATAAAGCAAAAAATGCTTGTTTTATTTTCTCATCAATTTTTTTTTTTTTTTTTTTTTGAAGATGTTTATGAAAATGCAATTAGAGCAAATAGATTGTAAAATATAAGTAAAAGTCTATTACTACCTCTAGTTAGATATATGTTATGCTATAGTTCCACCTCTACATAAGTTAATTTTATACTTGTATCGAAGTAAACTAAATTCTGGCAATTAAGAATTCTACAACTGATCAGCTTGTTTCATAAGTATATATGTGAAGAATTTCATATACATACTTATGCTTAAAGTTTGTGGAAAAAATGCCAACTTTCTATACGAAATTTTGAAATCCGTGATTACCCTTGTTAATGATATATTTTGGTACAAAAAAGTAATGTTCTGAAATTTTTAAATGAAAATTAAAAGGTTTTACAGCAAGGTTTTAAAGATAATTTAAAATATAATTATTAATGTCAAATGTATATTGCAAGGTTTAATATATAAGATTTCAATACCAAATTATAGTTATAAATGTTTAAATATTTGAATTTGTTATTTATCAGGCAGAAATTATTGAACTAAAAAAAGTTAGTTACTCATCTCAAATGGTACAAGATACATTGAAGAAAACCAAATGTGAAACTGAGAAAGAACATGAGCGTGACAAAAAAAAGTATTTTTTTTTTATATTAAATATTTCATGCTATTGAAATCATTGGGTGAAATACAAATATAGTTTTTTTTGTTAAAATATTTATATACAATTGGAACTAGTTATGTAAAGGTATACAGAGAAACTATTGTTACAAGCGCGTAACCTATTTTAAAGAAAACTAACCTTTTAGTTTATCATCTAATAAGAGAGTAAAAAAAGTTTTTTCAAATATACATCCAGTAATAGCTTTCAAATAACAACTAAACTTCTGCCACATGTTAATCTGCATCATTGTTTTAAAAAAGCAGGGTTATTTAAATGTAAGGATATTATATACTAAATTTGCACTTAACTTTTACAAAAAGCTTTGTAACATTTAATATCACTACTTAGAAGATAGAAAGCCATAATACCTGTAATAGTAAAGATGTGATCTTATATCTAGAGTGTTCAGCATGTAATGGTAAAATCTACATACACTGGAAAAGCGAACTGTTTAATAAATTGAACAAATTTCCATATCTTTAATCAACTGTCATACTGACAAGAATGTTTATAATTGCCAAAGAAAAAAATAATATAACTATGGAGCTTTTTGCATTTCTGGAACTTAAAAGTTATAAGAATTTATTATCTTATAAAAAATTATGTTATAAAAACATGATACATGATTTTAATTAACACTTCCTATTTAAAAAGGTACAAAACAATGGTAACTCTTAGCAACATAAACTTAATTCCTCATTACAAAAATAGAATTTTTTTTTAATTTATTTTTATTTTGCTAGTCATACCCTTTACTTTATATATAAGGTAGTAGTAAGTAGATAGGTCTGAAAAAGAAATAGGAGATGAACTATTTAAAGAAATCATTCCATGTTCAAAATCGCCTAAGGGAGAAAAAGGAGAAACTGAACACAAGCTAGGATCAGAGACAAGACAAAAAATAGTGAGTGAAGTTAAATGATTAGAGTTGTCAGGAAAGATTAAGTTAAATGAAAGATTAAAGGAAATTAAAGGAAAGATTAAGTCACAAAGTTAACTATTTGAGTAAAAGATTGAGAAATGTAAAAGTTATAGGCTTTAGTGTCAGCAGGGTCAGTGATGTTAAAGCCAAGCCATTCAGTGTGATGCAATAAAGTCGCCAATAGCAGCAATATTGTCAGAGGGGTAATAGTAGAAGGCATGGTCAGTTTGATTAGAAATTACATCTAAAAGAATGCAGTCCTGGGAAAAAGGAGCTCAATAAAGAACAAAGAGAAAGGTAAATAGAGTAAAGAGGTGCTAAGCCAAAGCACATAAAAGAATGGTCAAAGGATTTGAACCTAATTTCACAGCAAATTGGTGAATTGGTGTGTATGTATACCTCCAAGCCAAGGATGTGACTATTAGAGTCTTCGCAAATCATCATGGATCATCAACACTGAGATCTAAAGGAGGAATAAATAGCGGAATTTAAATTAGCCTCATTAAGAGCAAGCAAGTCTGATAAATTTTGCAAGAGGTAAGATTCAACTGATGAAAGGTTTCTTTGCAAATCATGAATATTTGTAAAAGATATATTAAAACAGTTAGGTGGTGGGGATGAGTTTTTGTGTTAAATTTTTTGGGTTACTTTTTGCATGATTTAACTTTAAAGAGAGCTAGACTCATTCAAAGATAGAGCATGGCCTCCTAAGCAATGAGCTATGCTTATATTCTCTGTCCTGTTAATTAACCCCAAGTTAACATAGTGCACTTTATTTAGCCTTAACAATTTGCACCAAAAGCATTAAAGCACAGGGCACTTTTAATGCGCAACATCGCATTGTTAATACTTTGATACTTTGCAGCTTTTGATAATATCAGACTCTCTGAAAGCTACCTCAAAGTTAGGAGATAAGGATAGGAGTTAGGACAGAAGCTGGTTGTAGTTGACATCTGCCCAAGTTCAGTATTTTTATTGAGACTATCTCTAGCCTTCACTTAATTAAAAGCCTAAAGGCAGGGGAAATTTATCTGGATGCAGTTAAAATCTGCCCAAGATGATTATTTTTATAGAGACATCATCTCTTTGCTTTACTCAACCAAGAGCCCCAGACAGGGGGTTTTTAGGTCGGAGTTTGTTTCAAAATACTGGGGGTTAAGGTGAGCGTAGGTTATATAGTTGGAGTAACTAGTTAGTTACTGAGTCCACACTGCCTCAAAAATTTAAACAGAACACAGACATACATAAAGTAACTTATGGGTGAGTAAACACTGCATCAGAGGTTCAGACAGAACACAAACATACATAAAGTAACTTATTAGTTAATGAACACGGCGCCAGAGGTTCAAGAAGAACACAAACACACATATTATTCAATATTAACACACATATCTTGCAATATTAACACACATATCTTGCAATATTAAAAAAACCGAAATTTTTTTATTTTAGTCTTTCTATATAATTTTTTCTCAGTTTTTTAGTTTGTGTTTTGATTTTTTTAAATCTATTGATGTGTCTAGATAAAAAGTTACTATATAATAATTGTATAATATAGTTATTGTATTATTATTATTATTATAATATATACTATTTATTATGAAAAACTATTTTAGGGTATTAAATCAAGCCAAGCTTCTTGATCAACTCAATAAAAAATTACAAGATCTTCGAGGTGCCAGCTTTTTTTAAAAGATTTCAAATTATTTTTTTGTACATATTTTGTTTGTACGTTTTGTATTTTTATTGTTGTTTTCATTATTAACAATTTGCTAAATTTTTTAAAATAAGTTTGTTTTTAGTTTTTATAATACTGTTTTTTAGTAGTTTTAAGTTACATATTTTTTTTTTAGCAAAAAGCAAAGAAGATGTTCGCCTTTTAAGACAACTCGAAAGAGAAAATGCTAAACTAAAAGAAAAAAATATTTTAAAAGTATTTTATCGTAAAATTTGTTTTAGATTGAAAAATATTTTTTAAAAATTATTTTGTTATAGGTAAAATAAGTTGGATTTTATCTTTATTTTTAAAAAGGATAACAACCAGACAAATAGTAATCCCAAAAAATCTAGTAAAAAGAAGTCCAACCAAGGTAACTTTTTAATGTTTAGTTTTATTTTTATTTATTCGTGTTTGTTTTGGTCTCAAAGTGTAAAATTTATACAAATACCTTTTATAATACATAGTATACATTTTTAAATTCGAGTGTTTGCTTAAATTCATTCATTTTCGAGTCCTTGTGTATACTTAAATTCATTCATTTTTTAATTTTTTGTGGTAAAAAAAATGTTGTGAAGTAGCTAAAAGTGATAAAAGATTAAATTTTTAATTTTGTATTGTTTTTAATTCATTAAATGTTTGAAAAGATTCAGATTTATTTTGAATGTGATCTCATTCAGTATATTGTTGATAATTATGTAAAAGGAATTGCATAATTTATATAAACAAGATGAAAGATAAAGTTTAAAAAGTGTTATTTACTCTTCTGCTTAGCGTATGTTACTGACACATACTTCTGCTTAGTATGTGTTAATGGCACATTTGTAATTGGTCTAATTTTTGTTTACTTTGAAGTAAAAATATCTACAATCATTTTACATATGCACTTATTAATTGAATACAGTTAAACTACAATTGTTAATTTAAATGTATGTAATTTTACTGTGAAAATCACTAATGCATTTTATATGATGACTACATCATTTAACAGTTCTTTTTAAATAATAATTGTTATTATGCTTATTAACAAACTTATAATGAGTCATACTGACTCTTTAAGAGTTCAAGTTAAGTGTTTTTTGCAAGGTTGTCAGAAGTTTTATCAAAATTTTAAACTGCTACCTTGCTCTTGACAGTGGTAGAATCAGCGGATATTATTTATCTTAAATATAATGGTGTGGTACCAATTGCTATGGTTGGCACAAGTTGTTTAAAAACTATCCTAACTCAAAATTTGTTATACAAAAATTAAAATAAATGTTAAAACTTTATTAAGGCGGTTGCTATTTGAAAGAAAGGTTTATCATATAAACAATATAAAGAAAGGTTCATTGATAATTAGATTTGAAAGAAACATCCATGATTAGATATTTCGCTTTTATATTATTTTATCAAAGTATATGGTAAATAGAGGCCAGCAATTTTTGGTATTAAGTTCAAGCTGGAGTAGATAAATTTATAAGAAAATAAGAGTTAACTCAAAAATTAAAAAATCTAAAGTTAACTAGTAGCTATCTTATTTGTTTAAATTTATCAACATAAATAAACTGCTTTAAAGACACTATTTTTAATGGAGTTACATTATATACATACCATATATCTATAATGTATGTTTATCTTACTAAAAACATTTTCTATATACCATATATCTATAATGTACGTTTATTTTACTAAAAAAATTATCTGTATACCATATATCTATAATGTATGTTTATTTTACTAAAAAAATTATCTGTATACCATATATCTATAATGTATGTTTATCTTATTGAAAAAATTTTCTATAAACCATATATCTATAATGTATGTTTATCTTATTAAAAAAAGAGACCACATTATAGCTACCAATAAATTGAGTCATTCTTCTCCATCACCAACACTTTCAATGCATCACATACACACTCTACACAACAACTTTTCAATAGCAAAACAATTACCATTCCTGTTTATTGTTTATTATTCATGTTTACTTTTTTTATTTTACTTCTAGATGCTTTTTGTTTTCCAATAGACAACTGTTTTTTTGTACTTTCATTCTGCTACACTCTTTTTAATTTATTATGCATCTTTAAGGCATTCACTGCTTGGTGCAGCTTCACTAAAGTGCAATGCATTTACAAAAAGTATTTAGTTTCTGTGTGAAGTGTTGAGCATCAACTATCTTCCTGACAATCACATATACTCTAGGTGAATTTATCAACCTATCAACAAAGAATTGAACCCACAACAATAACAAAAGTATGCTTATGCACATTCACATCACATCCTGAATTAACACTTTGCTTTTCTTTTTTATAAGTTATGTTGTTTTTCTTCTATTATTATTCCTAATATTATAATCTTCTTATTAAATAATTACCGTAAACTTTTAATCAAATTAAAATAAGAATAAGGAAAACTTGCTATTTTCAAATTTTGCACATTTTAGTTTTATGATCTAAATAAGGTAGTTCTGTTTAAAGCAATTGATTTTTCTAAAAAAAGTTAAAAATTGCTAGTGCGTAATGATAAAAATGATGAAGTTATGTTTGTGGATATCTAATCATATAAAGTTGAATGCTCAGAATGAGATTTATGAAATATAATAGAGTTTTCATATCTTTATCAGGAAAGGTGAAGTTTGGGGCCAGTTATTGCAGTTAAACATTTAAACAGTTTTATTGGAGTAGCAGCTGCTGAGGGTCAATCCATTTTTAATATTGATAAATAAACTGAACATTTTAGAGTGAGTTAAAACATAATCTTTGTATGTTATGTTGTTCTGACTCCAACCAAAAAGGCATTTTTTTAACTGTAAAAATAAATTGAAAAATGTGTGAGTTGATAAATCCAGCACATTTATGGTGGATGGAAGGGACATTTAGTCTTAAAGAAAGTTGGGAGAGATAGGCAATGAATATTACACATTATGGTATTGAAAGTTTAATTGATTATGGATCTTCAAAATATGCATGGTTGATGGTTGGTTATTATTAAAAGTTTTTAAGAGAAATTTGTGAATTGTTATTCAAAATATTTTATGTAAAAATTTATAAAGTGTTTTATTTAATGAAGAAAAAAGCTTTTTAGTGCATAAAGTTAATGAGTTATACATATAATAATCAAGTTGTTACATTTTCATTTTTTTCTATTACTTTATTGTTTTTTCGTTATTATTTTCTTTTCTTTTTTTTTTAATTTTAATACTTATATTTACAATATATTATTTTTCTGTATTAAACATAAAAACAAAATTATATTTCTATAAAGGCAAAGCTAGTCGCTCTTCTCCAAGTGGAGTTTTGTCTCCTTCTCCACCACATTCTCCATCAAGTGTAGGACATTTAAAGTATCGAGGAAAACGTAAAGTTACCAAATCTAAGTAAGCAATATTTTAAATTTTCAAAATTTATGATTTATGATAATTCAAAGCTTGTTCATTTTTATATTTTCTCATTTTTATATTGTTTTCTGATATTTTTATATTTACACAACACATCCTATTCTTATTTAAATAGCTTATTATTCTTTTATATTTTTAATTTTCACATTTACATTATTCAATTATTTAAAAAATTTCATTTTACATACAACTATCTTATACTTGCTTATGTTCATTAATTGAAAACATATTTTTAAAAAGACAAGATTAAAAAAAAAAAAGGAAATTAGCAAGATGAGATTCAATTTTTTTTTTAAGAATATCTTTTTAAACTTCTAGATAAATGCATGAACTATTATTATTATTATTATTTTATTATTATGTTAATTCACCTCCCCAAGGCTGTAAAGGCCACTACAGGCGAGGAGGCTACTTAATTGTGATTATAACCCTCTCTTAACTTTATAACTCCGAAACACAAACCTTGAAGAACTAGGCCGCTGTACAAGGAAACAAGTTGAGCGCTGTACTACCAGGGAGGTAGTGGGAATCAAATTCAGAACCTCTTGCTTATGAAGCAAGCATTATACCACTACACCACTCCTGCATTTGTTAGACTGTATTGCTAAACAATTAGTTAGACAATATTGTTAAAAAATTAATTTGACCATATTTTTAAAAATTTATTAGACCATTTTGTTAAAAAGTTAAACCATATTATTAAACATTTAATTAGACCATAGTGATAAATAATTATAAACGCCATATTGTTAATGATTTTTCACAATTGTTATTAATTGCAAAATATTAGAATATTGATATTTTAATATTCTAAATATGTGGAATTAAACTTGATACTACTGTATTTTTCAATCTTAAACTTCAAAACAAAAACTTTATTAAATTAGGTAGTTGCACAAATAATCAAGGTAGTTTGTTTTTTATTCACTCCCTGAAGGTCGAGAAGACTTACTACATTTGAGGAGTCTGCTTTTGTGGTTACCACCCTCTTTCAACTAAATAATTCCGAGACAGTTTAGCGCAGTACTACCAGAGAAGTTTAGCGCGGTACTACCAGAGATGTGGTGAAGATCAAACTCTTGCTTATAAGGCGAACGCTCTAATAATGAACGTGCAAATAAATAAATAAAGGTAGCTACTCGAATCAACAGTTTGAGGTATATTGCAGGGAGTGTACATAAATTGACTGACTTAAATAAGAAGAATATGCTATGAGTAATCTAGATGCATACATCGACTCATACAGAGTTAGGGTTGGCAATCATACAGAGTTAGGGTTGGCAATCTTAATGCTTATAACAAAAAATATATATTTTCTGAAAACTTTAATAAAATACAAATTAATTTAATTAAATATTTTTAGTTCTGCTCAATTTTATATCTATTAATATCTTAGCTTTTAGTTAACAACATAAAAAGACTAAATATCCTCAGTACTTTTTGAAATCAATTATAACAGGAAGCACAACATGTAAGTAAGCAAGTACTGCATACACCTCAAACATGTTAGTAATTAAGTACAGCATACACTACAAACATGTTAGTTAGCAAGTACAGCATACACCTCAAAGAAACAAGTACAACATACACCTCAAAAAAGGGGAAAAAATGTTGTAATCTTACAATATTGTAATTTTAAATAAGAAATTTTTAAAAGATATAATAAATATTTAAATCTTAAATTACGAAAATATTATTTTACAATTTTTTTTTAAATAAAACTTTAAGAAAATAAAAAAGAGTAAAGAAATGAAAGTAGTATTTAAATAGCTTTTGCGCACAGTCACATCACTTGCTAGTTTAGCATCCTAACTCTACACAATGGTTAATAACTATTGTTGAGTGGATTAAATTTTGACCATTTTTGAATAAGGTTTTACCTTGTTTTCAAGTTTTGTGTTAACTTATTTTCAACTTTTAAGGTTTTTGTTAGGGTAACTTACAACTATGTCATCTAGTTCATCATTATCATAGTTAATTTGAAATCAAACTACAAAACTGTAAGGATAATTAAATAGAAATCAAACTGCAAATCCTATAATAAAGTTCAACTGAAATGCAACTTTGAAACAGTTCAGCTATAAACAAAGTGTAAAGTATTAAGGCTAAAAAAGAAGCTGCAAAGACAAAAGTAAGACAAAATAGAAGCAACTTAATTATAATTCTTCATTAATTATTAATTTTTCCTTTGTCTTTGTTGAATCTTTTAAATCAATAATAAAAAAATGAATAATAAAATATTTTTAATAAAAAGATAAATACAAATCCAAAACCAAAAAAATATTTTAAAAGTTCCTAATGTAGCTAAAAGAGGCTCTAATGTAGCAAATGCTAATAAAGCAAGCGCTAATGTAGCAAACGCTAATAAAGCAAGCACTAATGTAGCAAACGCTAATAAAGCAAGCGCTAATGTAGCAAACGCTAATAAAAATTAAAAAAGCTTAAACAGATTAAAAATATCTCTTTTTCAATCCTAAACTTCAAAATAAAAACTTCAAAAAAAAGGTTTTAATAGTTTAAAGACATATATAAACAGCTTTGCATAAGTAAAATATAAACAAAATTGTAAATAATTTTTTTAAGTTTTGAAGAACAGTGGATTAACACACCAAGATATTTATAACCGTCAAAGATCCGTCAAGATAGCTTATTTAATTTTAGTTTTATGATTAATGTTAAAATAGTTTTTTCCAGAAGCTAAAAGAAAAGCTTATTCAAATTAAAATAATAAAAATGTATTTTCAAAATAAAAGAGCACCAAGAACATAGCCTTGAGGAACTCCACACACAATAGATTTATTACAAGAATTATATTTGTTAATACTTACAAATTGGTACTTATCTAAAAAATAAGATTTAAACCAGTCACTTACAATACTACAAGCCAACGGTACAGATTTTAATCCACCTTGTCTCTGAATAACAATGCTCAACTTGTTTCTATATGCAATACATTAAAACATTATTTCAGGAAAAAAATAAAAAGCTTTGTGATTGTCTCTTGGCATTAAGTAGACTAATATATTTGAGTGTGTTTTGTAATAATTAAAAAAAAAATGTTTGTTCTTCTTTTTATTTATATATTTGTTTATAAATTGTTTATAAATTATAAATAAAATTTTTTTTTATATCTTTGTTTATAAAAGTGTAAGGATAATAATAATAGATGTATAAATGTATTATAGATATGTATTATAAAAACTGAACAGAGAAAGATTTGTGCTCTGTAAACCTAAATTTGCAATAGTATACAATATGCAAGTTATTACTGTACTAATATATTTTGTATATTTTAAAATTAAATCCTGTTTTACTGTTACCACTGTAATCAACCACTGTAATCAGCTACTGTATTCAAGTAGCTTGAGATTTACTAGATTAAGCCCAATTTTATATTGAGTAAAGAGAGATTAATTTTTTGTCACAGGTACTAGATTAACATTCTTCACATTGGAGACCTTGCTGCAAGTCTTTTCTTTTAGACCATTCTTTTTTAGTATATTGATTTTTAGTGACACTACTGCCCCACAAAAACAAAAATACTTTGTGGATCCTCATTGCATTACTTTATCATCACTTTGCAATGACATTGCAAATTGAGGAAGCATTTTTTTAACAGTGAAAAAGAGTAAAAGATTAACATATAAAAAATTGTTTAGAAGATTTGAAAAATAAAATAAATAAAGTGAAAACAATTAAAATATTAAAGAATAAAAATTCAAGAAAAACATTAAAATAAACAGAAATAACTAAACACAAAGTTAAAAGAATAAGAATGTTCGTGATAAATTCGAAAATAAAAAACTTTAAGTTATTAAGATACAAAAATAACATTTTTTAAGTTTTTATTAATTTATATTGTATGGATTGTTTATACTGTCATTAATTTTTTGTTTTAATCTCTCGTGTTTTTGTGTATGTTTTTTTAAATTGTCCTGTATTTCGATGTTTTGTTTATACTGCTGTGTAATTTTGTGCATCATTTTTAATGGCGTGTACATTTTTATTGTTTATGTTGACGTTTTTTTTTTTTTTTTTTTTTTTTTGTGGTCTTCTTGTGGTCTTTCTTCTTCAATTATTTTTATTATTGTTGCTATTATTCAGGTTATTTCTTATTTTTTGTCTCATCATAATGTTTAAAAGTATCCTTCTTTTTTTTTTATTTTCTTCATTATTTTTAACATCCTTCTGATCGTCAAATGTTGTGTTATCTCATTCATTCCTTATCTATCATGTCAGTTAATTTGTTCCTTATCTATCATGTCAGTGTTATTTGTTTTGCTTTTTTAAATATTTTTTTTCTTTTTATTTTGTTTAATTTTATTTTGTTCACTATCTGTATTACTTTTGTTTTGCTTTATTTGTTTATTTTATCAAGATGTCACTCCAATGACTAGATTTTAACTATATGAGTGACAGCAAACCTAATTTTGTGAAATTATAAATCACTTTGTAATTATTTCAATTTTATGCATAAATAAATGGATTAAAAAAGTATATATATTTATATATATACTTTTTTAATCCATTTATTTATGCATAAAATTTAATTATTTATAATTTTAATTATTTATAAGAAATAAGAAAAAAAAGAATTTTAATAAAAGATTTTTGAGTTTGAAGAAACAGTTACAGTAAAAGGATGCAACTTTGCTGAATGATGAGTCATTAAATAGAGTTTTGGTTTGATGAAATAATTAATGAGAGCTCACTTAGTTTTGCTAACAACTGTAGTAAAGAAAATAAGATGCAACATTGTGGCAATGGAACAGAGGCTCAAGCAATAAGACCATGGCCAACAACAGTTACAATGAGTTTTTAGACCTTATCTAAAAAAAGAGAGGGTGTTATTTGAATAATCACTACATGTATGACATTATTATTCCATACTGAGATATATTCCATATAATTCATGATTTCATAATAGAACCTTTCCCAACAGTAGGACAAGATGATGGAAATTAATTATCAGAAATTGTTGAACTCTTGCCAGTTATTTAATTAATTTTAAATAGATCACTGTGTTGTTTTTTGCATCCTTTCTATGATATTTGCACAGATAACACAATTTTTATGTTGTTTTTACATATGACCTTAAGCTTCTTTTTTTATTAAATAAAACTTTTTATGTAACTCTTTCCAAGTTTATAACTCACTTTTTTTTATAAAAAATCTTTCCTATAAATATAGATACTAAATAGCTCAATAATTTTTTATGGAAACAGTTACGCATTACAGTCAGCATATTACTTAATGTTTAACCTCATAATTTAAAGCAGAAATAGTGCAGTGGTGAAAGTTCTGGCTTAAAATAAGAGGTTCTAGATTCAATGTTGGTTCTAGCTCAATAAGCAATACTTATAAAGTAATTGTTAGGCTCAAAATGAAATATTAGAAAATTTTTAATAAAAGACCTTGCTTATAATAGTATGATGTTGATAATTTTTTTCTAATTTTTTTTGAATAAATTGTTTTGATTAAAGTCCTTATTTTGAAAGTTTGTTATATATATTTATTTGTATATTTTAATTTGAAGAAGTCCAATCCCATATGACGATAAAGATTTAAGAAGCCCAATGTCAAGCTGTGCAACATCATCTGGTAGTTCAACAGATAGTGATTCTGAAGCACTAGATGGTTAACAGATTTTTTTTTTCTGAAATTTGATCTTGTTTTATAACTTTTTTTATGTTTTTTTTAATCTGCTGATCATGTGACTATGTCAAGTTTATTTTCAAATTCATTTTTTTAAATTATGCCATTTGTATATATAACTTTTTTTATTAAGGTAATTAACTTTTTTCAGGTTTTGAATTACAACAGTTACTTGAGCATACAAATAAACTAATGCCAGATATTCATAAGACTTTTTATCCAGTGCTTTCACCTATTCCAGCCTCTCCCAAGTCTAAACATAAAGAACAATCTGCCTCGTCTCCTGCGGTCAGTTCTAAAGATTTAAATGAAGCCACTGATTTTATGAAAAATATAAATAATGTTGATGGTTTATTAACTGATGTAAATGACGACAGGGATTCTCCAAAAGTTTTTACTGATCAGAATGACCAAATTAAAAATGAATGTAATTCCAATGTTTTTACCATAGAGGAAGCTGATGATAATTCTTTGAATGGATGTAGCAATAATGTTTTGAATGAAACTGACAATAATTCTTTGGATGGAACTGATGATAAAGCTTTGAATGAAACTGAAGATAATGCTTTGGATGGAACTAATAATAATACTTTGGATGGGACTGATGGTAATATGCTGAATGAAAATCATGATAATGCTTTGGATGGAACTAACAGTAATGCTTTTGGCGGAACTTATTGTAATGTTTTAAATCGAACTGATGATTATGTTTTAGATGAAAATGATGATAATGCGTTAAATGGAACTGATAATAATGCTTTGAGTGGAATTGATAATATTACTTTGAGTAGAATTTATGATAATGCTTTGGGTAGAACTGATGGTAATCCTTTAGATGTAGTTGATGATAATGCTTTAAATGTAGCTGATGATAATGCTTTGGATGTAGTTGATGATAATGCTTTTGATGTAGCTGATAATAATGCTTTGGATGTAACTGCTTGTAATGCTTTGGGTGGAACTGATGATAATGCTTTGGATGTAGCTGACGATAATGCTTTGGGGGGAACTGATGATAATGCTTTGGATATAGCTGATGATAATGCTTTGGGTGGAACTGATGATAATGCTTTAGATGTAGCTGATGATAATGCTTTGGGTGGAACTGATGATAATGCTTTAGATGTAGCTGATGATAATGCTTTGGGTGGAACTGGTGATAATGCTTTGAGTGGAACTGATGATAATGCTTTAGATGTAGCTGATGATAATGCTTTGGGTGGAACTGGTGATAATGCTTTTAACGGAACTGATGATAATGCTCTGGATGGAAGTAATGGTATTGCTTTGGACAGAACTGATGATAATGCTTTTGATGGAACTGATAATAATGCTTTGGATGGAACTGAACATTATGCTTGGAATGGAACTGATGATAATGCTTTGAATGAAACTAATGATAATGCTTTGGATGCACCTGATGATAATGCTTTAGATGGAATTGATAATAATACTCTGGATGGTGCTGGTGGTAATGCTTTAAATAGAACTGATGATAATGCTTTAGATGGAATTGATGATAATACTCTGGATGGTACTGATGGTAATGCTTTAAATAGAACTGATGATAATGCCTTAGATGGAAATGATGATAATACTCTGGATGGTGCTGGTGGTAATGCTTTAAATAGAACTGATGATAATGCTATGGATGAAGCGGATAATAATGCTTTGAATAGAATTGATGATAATGTTTTGGATAGAACTAGTAATAATGCTATGGATGGAACTAATAGTAATGCTTCATACAGAACTTGTGGTAATTCTTTGGGTGGAACTGGTAGTAATATTTTGGATGGAGCTGGTCGTTATACTTTGGATGGAACTGGTGATAATGCTTTGTATAGAAGTGATAATAATGCTTTCACAAAAATTTTAGATAGTATCAATGTTAAGTTAAGATCATTTTCTCCCCCCATTTCTCCTATTCCACCTTCACCTAATAGATCCCTTCTTACTCCCTTAATATCTCCATTATCACAATCTACTCACCACCCATTTCATCTGTTAAATCCTTTATTGCCCAGAAACTCACATTTTATTCCAATTATATCTCCTCTGCCACAAACTCCATTACCTGAGTCTGTATCACCAATTCCTCTTTCTCCGACAATACTATCACCACCTCTAATTCGAAGTTCAGCATTGTTACAATCTGAAAACTCATCTATATTTGCTCCAAAACCCCAATTAATGCAACCAATACTTAAAAACATTAATGATTTAAATGTTGAACAATCATTGAGTAATATTGCAAAATCTAAAGTAGAGTGTGACTTTGTTGCAAAGCGTGCATTATTGCTCAATGAAACAAATGTTGCAAAGCGTGCATTATTGCTCAATGAAACAAATGTTTCAAGGCCTAAAAATACAAAAATTGAAAATAGCTGTAAAAATTTCTTATCTTCAACAGTATTTACTAAAGCTTCTATAACTTCTACAACCACTTTAGTAAAGTCCAATTTTAATAGGATGTCTCCTGATAAAAAGGTTGTTAATACAAATAGTGTGGAATCAGATACCATTGTTACTTGTGAAAAGCAAAGTCTGAAACGGAAACATTTATTGCATGAAGAAAACTTATGTAAAAAAACGAAAATTTGTAAAAACAATTTCACTGTAAAACACATTTCAGATACATCAAAACAATCTTCAGAACCATTAAAACAATCTTCAGAAGGTTTTGATAATTTACCGCAACTTTTAAAAAGTTTTTCTGAAAAATCTATAAATATACAACATCTTGTTACAATATTGAGTGATAAAGTAAATAACAGTGCAGCCTCTCTTTCAAGAGCTATAGTAAAGTTGATTGTCTCATGTGAAGAGTTTTTATTACCAGTTATCTTGAAATTAATTCAAACAAATTTATGTTCAGAATGTGTAGAAAAACCTGAAGAGAACTGTAAAATATGCAAAAAACAAAATTTTTTTGAGACTTGTAATCCATTATCTATCTTAACTCAAGTGCTTACAGAAACTGAGTATAACCTTCTGTGTATATTAAATGAACTGGTAAAGTTACCACATATGAAAAAACTTTATATTTTTCTTAAAAAGCATAGTCGTTATGCAGTATTTGAAGGAATGGGTAAAAGGTTGTCATGTGAAATTTTAGCATTATGGTAAGTTTATTATTTTACTGAATATTTTTAAATATATGACTCTATTGGAACATACCAAGTTGTAAATAAAAATTATTTTAAATAATAATTTGAACAATTATGTTTAAAAATGCAAGTTTTTCAACTTTTTTTAGTCGTTTGTATGCTGTTCTAAGTCGTATAAGTAACAAACTTGATGACCTTATATATTTTTTATATATCCTTGCATATGACAAAGTACCTCATACTAATTTTGCAATGTTTTTCATTACTTGTTATTCAATATGGCCGTCGATTATATTTCAATCAAATCTTATTTCCCAAAACAAAGATAAAAGACTTGAATATCATAATGTAAAACTTTCACCTCTGTCTGGAGCTTTTCAAATAATAGCATTATATGAAGCTGCTTTAAAAGAAGATGCCAACTCTCTGAAAGTATGATTTAATTATTAAAGTTTTTTCATTTTCCGGCGTTTGTTACCTAAACTGTTTTATATGTATATATAAATTTATTATATATATATATATATATATATATATATATATTATATATATATATATATATATGGGCAATTCCATGCAAGTGACAGTCGTAACATTTGACACTTTTTTAGTTATTAAAAGTCAAATAAGAATGATATTGATTTGAAATTCTCCAGAAATGTTAAATACTATTATAAAATTTAGTATACAAAATTTAAAGTATTCAAATCTTCAACTTATTTGAAAAATCGTCTTAACGTAGCGTGATGGTCTTAGCGCTTACTTTTTGACAATTCTAAACAAATCAGCTTTGACAATCTTTATGCAGTCATCTACGCGGTGAAAAAATAAAAATCCTTTGCTGTGTGCATTCACTACATATTAATATTGCTATATGCCAAGTTTTATAGTTTTTGCTTAATGTTTTACAAGAATTTTATTATATTTTTTGTCGTAATGGTCGTTACCGTGACGGTCATAACGAAAATGCCAATAATGAAAAACTGAATGAATGAATTGAATGCATGGCGCATTTATTAAATTCATTGCAATGAATGGCGTAAAAAAGATGAGTGATTATAAAAACCAAGTAAGTTATGTTAAAATATACACTTTATAACATTATCACTGGGATAATATTACATTTATAATGGGTGTAGTGATTCGTGTATGACGATGACTGGGTATGATAATGATGACTGGGTATGATCATATTACTTTTATTTGGATTAAGCAAATAATGCTTAATTCCCTTTTATTCTCCTGCATACTATGACTATGGTTGAAATAATAAAATCGTTTTTTACTTGGTTTGAATAATAATATAATCGTTTGCGCTTAAGCTTTGTATAAAGTCAAGAAGCCATTTTGGAAAAACAAACATATCGTGATGGTCATAACGTGCCTAATAACGTTTTCAAAAGGTGATCTAAAGCACTTTAAAAAAAAAATTAATCAACAATAATAAAATTTGTATTATTATCTTTACTTTAACCATAGTTGTAGTTTTAAAAAGTTTGATACGAAGCATAGAAAAAACTTTTAGACTTTTTTTCGTAACAGTCGTAACGTATTGTTTTCATAAATATATTTTTCTTATAGACCTAGTTAGAATGCGCTATAAAAAAATGTTATGAATAATGTTTAATTTATCCTTTAATTCAAACTTAAAAGTAATAGTTATTTAAGAAAAGTGCACTTAAACCTTTTTCAACATTTCACAACAGGGCTGCATATAAACGTTAAAAAATGTTTATATAACCCTTGCAACTTTATAACTATGTTAAGGTATGATAAAAGGATTTTTTTGATAATTTTTTTCTTAAAAATATACTTAAATAGTTGAAAAATAAGTTTATTGAGGTTACTCTATGTTGGCGTAACGTTTTTTTTTTTTTTTCCTCTTTTATGTGGAATTGCCCATATATATATATATATATATATATATATATATATATATATATATATATATATATATATATATATATATATATATATATATATATATATATATATATATAAGAGAGAGAGAGAGAAAGAGAGAGAGAGAGAGAGAGAGAAAGAGAGAGAGAGAGAGAGAGAGATTAGTAGAAAATCACATTATAAAAAGAATTCTTTAAAATGTATAATTATTTCAAATTTTTCTTGTAGGTATAATATGCATTTTTTTTGGAAATATTTTTATATGCAGGTGCTGTTTAAGGACAGATCAATTTAATATAAAGCCATTAATATTTTTATCTTTAAATTTCCATATTTATTTCGACGGCATAGTGTCTTTTAAATACTTTTTTATTTTTAAAGGGTTGTTTAAGGTTGGCAAAACATTTTTTCCATTCACCCTCTGTTAAACTAATATATTGTTTATCAGGTACATTCTTAGAGGAAACAACCTTGACGAATACCTCTACCCTACCTATACACTACTACCGAATATATATATATATATATATATATATATATATATATATATATATATATATATATATATATATATATATATATATATATATATATATATATATATATATATATATATTTCAAAGGAATATAGTAAAAATAAAAATATTTTTAACAAATGGAACTAAATCCATAAAGAGAAATTTTATTTTAAAGTTTTTATACAATTAAACTCTATTAAAGATGTCAACATTTATATATATATATATATATATATATATATATATATATATATATATATATATATATATATATATATATATATATATATATATATATATATATATATATATATATATATATATATATATATTTAAACATCTTCGCTTCCTACAAGGCTGCAAGCAACCACTAATTAGTGTTGAAAGTTACTAGAAGAGCAAAGATGAAGATTGTAGAGCAAGATAACGATTGACAGACAACTTGAGAGATTGCAAATTATATGAATCAAGAAACCAAGATGACGGAAACGAATTCCAAAGAACTGTTGTTCAAGGAAAAAGTCTAGAGGAATAAGGGTTTTTGTAGTATTTAAGAACAGTTACAGAAAAAAGATGAGACTTGATTGAATGATGAGTAACATAAGAATGAATTTTAATAGATGGCACAAGAGATGCTAGCTCTTTAGAGGAGTGCCCATTATAGTATTTGTAGTAAAGAGAAAGAGAAGCTACATTACGACGATGTGACAAAGGTTGAAGGTTGGCTGCAAGTGCAGGTCCAACTATGTTTGCAAATTGTTTTTACACCTAAACGTCTGTGAGCCCCATGCTTTAGCAGAAGTGAGATCCTTTTCAAGCTCAGATGATGTTTCCAGATACACCGTAAGAAGAAAGCTTATAGAGAAGACCAGCATGCCAAACTTTATCAAATGCTTTAGAAATGTCAAGAGCAGTGGCCTTAACCTCTCCACCCTTTTCTAATGCGCGATAAAACCTATTGGTTATTACTGTTAGCAAATCAGCCGTAGAACGAGAAGATCGAAATCCATATTGTTTGATTCATTAAAGATTGATAAACCTTGCTTATGGTAGGAAAAAGACTAATGGGACAGTAATTAGATAAATCAGATGGCTTTCCAAAATTTTTTAAAATAGGGATTTTTTAACTACCAGCCAGCCTCAGAACCATAAAACTGAGTTCAAAAACTGTACCCTCATTAGGAGATAAAAGAATGAGTTGCCTAGTCATAAAAACAGAGACACAAGCAACACTCGTGCATCGAGTCAAGAAGATCCAGGATTCAACATCCTAAACTGGAAACAATGTATTAAAAATACATCTGCGCTAGCCTAATAGATAAAGGTGTATATATATATATATATATATATATATATATATATATATATATATATATATATATATATATATATGAAAGAGCTGAAAGTAGTTTAAATATAAATGAAAAGATCATTGTTAATAAAACAATATGATTACACAAAATAGTATTAACATTTATTAATGATTACCAATTATTAACAATTAACAATTATTAATGATTACACAAATTAGTATTAACAGCACAAACCTACTTTCTAGTTTTCTAGTTTTTTGTTTTTTTGTTTTTTTTGTCTCTAATTTTGCAATTATTAATTATTCACTTAATAATAACATTGTATATTTGTTAGATTTACTTGCACAGCCAAATATCTCTTTTAATGCAACAAAAGCCCATGGATAAAAAGTACTGAATCATGAATGTTTCAACATAACAATTGGATAAAGAGGGTACCTACGATGATCCCAAAGTCAGTGTCTATGATAGAGGATACCTAGGATAACCCGACAATTGGTACCTGCGATGGAGCTGAAATTTGTAAACTTGTAGGGGCTCACACCTTTCACAAACTATCAGAAATAATTAAAAAATTCAACATAAGTCTTTACTGTGATGATAGATTATAGGCAAGCGCGCTAACCACTGCACTACGGCTGATAAAGCATTTAAAGATCTTTATGGAAAAACATTTGTGTATGCCATATGAATTTCCACTGCTTTTTCATCTTGCATGTGAATCACATTCGCAATAGAGATGTTCCGTAACCAGTTTATGCTGAGTCCCAGAACCCAGTACTCAGAAGAAAATACAGGGTCCGGGTATCTGGCACCGAGTCACTTTTCAAAAGTTGTAATAAAAGCTTGTAAAATCTATAGCGCTGAATTGTTTTCATGCTGATTAAATTGTGCTAATTAAGTTTGTCTAGATATCAAGTTTCTTTTTAATAAACAACCATATTTACATTGAAGATCACAAGTTTAATTTCTGCAAACTAAATTCTTTTAAAATACTCAATTGAAAAAATTCTCTCACTCGATAAGAAGAAGCTATTCAAATATCTGTATAATTTTTATTAAAAGTTGTTTCCTTTTTGCAATATATTGCAAAATTGTTATGTATAGATGTCACCTAAAATATTTTTAAAAATATTTTAGGTGACATCTATACTGAGATATAGAGCTTTGTGGTTTTTGACTCCATAACGCTCTTAGACTTATATAAAGAAGTTTATTAGTTGAAGTTTAAACTAATAGCTACCCTGGTAATAATATTTCGATACAATTATTTTTTAAGTACCACTTAAACAAATAATTACAGCATTTAAAGTTAATTTTTATTACAAATTTCTTTAAAGATACCCAGTGCCGGATACTGCAACAAAAGGGCTGATTCCAGCAAAATAGCCGAATTACCAGGTCCCTGGGTTCGAACTAGGTACCCAGTTCACTTTTCTAATTCACAATATTTCTTTTGAACTGGGTATGCTTTTTTGTGAAAAAAGATTGTGATTGTAAAAATTTTATTTTAAATCAACAACATTTCCAGATAAGCTGATTTGATGGTCTTTGTTGCTTGTCAAAGAGTTTTGGTTTTGCCAAATGTTTCATTGAATAGTTAATTAGTGCCCAAATTAGAATGTTGTAAACATTTCGGACAAGTAAATTTGTGTTTTAATTGATGTATCAACACTAGAATTAATGTATCACTACTAGAAATGATATACTTTGTCATCCAAAGAGTTCTTAATAGTATGAGTTTTCTGAACTGACTACTATAATAATAATTTTTCTTTCATAATATTGTTAATGGTACCTTTTTTCTTCATACATGTTTTGTATTTAACAACTGCTTTTTTTTATCTTTCAAGTCTTCTTTAGTTGTATTGACATGATTTGGGGACCTTGCTGGTCTATCAGGAACATTTGACATCATTTGGGGACCTCGCTGGTCTATCTCTATCTGAATAGTGGAACTTCTGTGCTTAGACAACTGAGCATGTTGCTGGTGAATACTTTTTAACTTTGTTACTTTGTAAGGTTTTGACTATTGTTGGGTCTATTGCTGTATTAATGTTTGCTGTAGTTAAAATATTACCTTTAAGCCAAGTTGTTAAAACTTCTTCTGCAGCTGCATTTTATGATATTAAAATAGTTGATTATTTAACCATTATCTTATGAACCACTCTAGATTGGGCAACACCCCTTGTTAGCAACTGACTTGGCTCATCAGTTATTTAGAGAAAAATCTAACAAGCCGAACAAACTTAATTTAGCGTGTTTACTTTAGCATCATATAATAAACTAAGCAATTATCAACATAATTATTTTAATAATTTTTTACTATAATTTTTGAATAAACAGTCTTTTTAAAACTTTTTAACAGCATGTTTCATCAATAACAATTGACATCAGGTATAAAAAATTAGTTACAATTTCTGTATATAAACAATTTTTTTTGGCTACATTAAAATTTTATTAGTTTTTACAATAGTTACTATAGTTACATTTTTATAAAATTACCAAAAAATTTTACAAATGATTGTATAAAAACTGTGAAGAAATTAATAAAAAAAAAAAACTAGGAAATAGTAAAAAAGGTAAGGAAATTGAGAAATTGTATTGTTATAGTAATAGGTGTATATCATTATAATTATATTGTTATAGTACTAGGTGTATGATTTTAATTATGTATTAAGTAAGGGTTTTTCCATTATTTGAATGTTATTACTAAGTTAGTACTACTTAAACCATTTTTTTACTATAATAAATATAAATATTTATATTAAAACTGATCAAAATGTAAAAAATGTTCTTTGATTAAAAATTTCAATCAAAAATTAAAACTTGAAAAAAAGTACTTATGACCAATGGAGGAAGTAATCTATGCCTTATGCTTGCCTATCCCCTTTTATTATTTATTTAAAGCATTTGCTTTTATGATTATTAACAGTTAACAAATAAAAATATTAAATCATTACTCTACATATCAAATCAATATTACAAAGTTATATAAATTGTCTAATTTGAAAACATGGCCACTCCTAAATCAGAAATAATAATTAAATCAAAAAAGTTGGACAAAAAAGATAATGTTAAACATGCAAAAATAACATATGAACTAACAACTAAAATCGCAAAAGCATTATAAGTATGGGCGAGATAAAGAGAAACTTAAATACAATAAAAAATATGCAACTAACTTGCAGTAAAACAGTTAACAGGATGCTCTAGAAAACTTAAAACAGTTAACAGGATGCTCTTAAAAGTTAAAATAACTTAAACAAAACTCATATCTATTAAGCTCATATTAAAACAGTTATTGTTAAATGAATTGTTGTCATCCTGATAACAATTGTGCTAATATAATAATCTGATGAAGAAAGACAAATTGTATTGCAACAATCAGATTAATGCAATTCTTTGTAATTTTGATAATATTTATCTATTTATTTGGGAGATATTATCAAATCATTGATAATAGCTGAAATTAGCAACCTAATACAGGCAATGCTCTGCATATAATTAGTAAAATATGTATGAATGGTGAGAAGAAAAAAATTCACTTTATTTTTGAAAACACCAATACATAAAAGAAGATACTACCAGTAAAAAGAGTTAATGATGACAGTCTTAATATTAATGATGTTTCAAAAGTATTGATAAAAATTTGACTACACTACATTGTAATTTCTATGCGTATACAACAATACAATGGCACTTATCACAAACTGTTTCTTATAATCTTCTTTCACCGTGTCATTTCAAATGTCATCATTTCACCAGGTTTTCTAATTACAAGACATAAATTTAAAATATCAAGTATAAAATATATAGATATTTATAGATATATTATATTTATATAGATATATTATATAGATATATTAAATATATATTTATATATATATATATATATATATGTATATATATATATATATATATATATATATATATATATATATATATATATATATATATATTTATAAATTATATATAGATATCAATATAAAACAAACATCATTTTATGTAGCCAATATAAAAAGTAAAATGTGTTTGCCCTACTCAAACTGCTAGTTAATCAAAATCGCCTTTTACACAATGCTGTAGTAAATCACTCAGCTATCGAAGACTGGGTTAAAAATTCAACGCTAACAGCGCATTTAATACTTGCACTCATCCCCAGTTCCCCAGTTACATTCAATGACAGGAAAACCGTTAAGAATTACATTGAAGAAAGAGGTTTTTTGTGCAAATGCAATGCACAAACCAATTCCACATTATTTGTTAAACAAAATCAAAATGAAACTTGATGATATCTATTTAACCATTTAACACAACGATCCCCCACAAAATGGCGTTTGCATCAAAGAATGACCTAGAAAACTGTTGACATTAAGAGAAACATGCCACACTAATTAACTATCGCATTTTAATAAATTATCATTATTTCACTAATCACAAAAAGCAAAAAGTAGACTATTGATACAATGTGCTCCCCACAATTGTGCTCCCAGTACAATTATGCTCCCCAAAAACCACTAAATAAGCTACAACTTTTTTTATCAAATGGGGGTGGTATTGATACTTTAGAACAGGGTTCAATGTATCTTATGACAGATACAACCAACAATTTTTTGATTAAACTCAAAAAATTTTAAGAGCCTGATTGTAAATAGATTTTTTCATAATGTTGGGTTTTTAGAAGATTTAAATGCTTTGTGAGTCTCAAGACTATAATTTGGTTTCAATAAAACTTCAAAAGAAAATTCAAATTTGTGCACTGTACAAAGGCTTTTTTATGAACTCTGTTAATTTGGCATGTTGTCATACTTAAACAAAATATTCAAATTAAAATAAATTAAAACAAATTAATGGATATTACAAAAAGATAGACAAAATAATAGAAATCATAGAATAATAGGCTTTATATCTTTGATTGTTAAAAATATTCTTATGCCAGTAAGAGCAAAGCATTTTAACTTAACTGCATGGCAATATTATGTGTTCACTTTATAATCCTTGTAAATGGTACTTTATAATCCTTTAAATAAAATCTTTAAAACTTTATAATCCTTGTAAATAGTAAGGCCAAGTAGTTTCAAAAGAAATTATATTTCTTATTGTGAGATAATATTCACACTACTTTTAAACGAGCTAATTGAATTTGAAACCTTTAGGATTTGCAATCATGGAGTTTATTTTAAACTAGGCAATGATCTTATTAATTTCTTTTTGCAGAGACTTATAAAAACACTTTTATTGCAATCACCTTTAAAAGATCTAAAGATATTATTCTGAAAATATCCCTATTATTACAATATTCTTTCACCTTAAAAAATAATTGATCAATGCAATTTGAGTGCTTTGTAGTTTACAAAAATAATTCATTTTGACATCTATTATAAGGCTTAAAATAGTTTTCTTTATTACTATTTTTAGTTATAAATTTTAATAATTTTTTTTTTAATATTTTAATATGATCTAGTTGCTTCAGAATTAACTGGATATAAAAAAATTTTTGTATGTAAATTTGTATGAAATTTTTATTTTTGTATTTATATTTATTTATATATTTATTTAGTTAACTCAGGTGTTTCTTTAAATTTTTTTTTTAGTTTTTTGCTTTAGTTTAGTTCGTCAAGGTTCATTTTTGAAGTTATAGTGGTCTATTAACATGAAGAAAAAATATATATATATTTATTTATATAAAATATATATAAATATATATATAAGCTTGTCAAATTTTTTGCAGCCGTGTGGGCGAGCACGAAAAGACTTTTGCGTGAAAGCGCTGGAGAAAACATATTTTATATATATATATATATATATATATATATATATATATATATATATATATATATATATATATACATATATATATATATATATATATATATATATATATATATATATATATATATATATATATATATATATATATATATATATATATATATATATATATATATATATATAATTTTTTATTTTTGAAAAATATATATACAGTTTTTATAAATTTTTTATGTTTGCATAAACATTTTCATCTGATAATTTCAACTTTTTGTGTGTGTATTTTTATTTGTAATAATGTACAAAAATATAGCAATTTAATTTCATTATCATCATTCTAGATTCTGAAATATTTGTTTTCAATAAATGTGCGAGTAACTATACAATTTTTAAAAGAATATATTTTTGAATTGTTTAATCTTCTGTGTGAACACAAATTTTCCTTTATGGTGAGAAACACAGGTGATTTTTTGATTAATGTTTTTCTAGTTATGTTTTTGTATTTAGATATTTTTAAATGTCTTTAAAATGTTATTTCTTTAAAGATACAAGAGAACTTAATATGTGTCCTTATGCTTATTCAACTGCCAAAGCCTTAGTTCTTGTTTGCACACGAATTGGATGGGAATGGACTTATAATACATTAATACTGTCAACAATCATTCAATATTTAATACAAGGATTTGCTAACAAAAATATTCATATAGACAACATTAGTATTTTGATTAGATCAATTGGTTAGCTTTTTTTTATTTAATTATATTTAAATATTTTGAATAAAATTTTAAAGATTCATTTTGCATTTTTGTTTTATATGATAATGTTAATAAAGCCAAACTTTATATGATAATGTTAGTAAAGCCAATTAAAGTTAAAATAGGTAGGGGTGGTCAGGATAATAGGGGTGGTCAGGATAATAGGGGTGGTCAGGATTAGTGTCATAAGTAGTTGTAGTACTTTTAGTATTAAAAAAATATAAGAAACGGTTTAAATATTTAGTAATAAATCTGAATCCAAATTTTTAATTAAAAAAAATTGTTTTAAAATTTGTTTATTATTCAATTTTCTCTTGAATTTGATTTATGTTTTTTTTGTGTGTGTGTGTTTTTTTTTATAAATTCTTATGTATATTTGTGTAAATTTTTTTTATTTTACTTCACCTCCTCAAGGCCGAGAAGGCCACTACTAACGAGGAGGCTACTTATTTTGTGGCTATAACCCTCTCTCAACTCTATTACTCCGAAACACAAACCTTGACGAACAAGGCCGCTGCGCGGAGAAACGAGTTGAGCGCAGTACTACCAGGGACGTGGTGGGGATCGAACTCGGAACCACTCGTTTATGAAGCAAGCGCTCTACCACTACACCACTACCGCATATAATTATGTTCGTGCCTTTGTGCCTTTTTTTCTTTTTTCTTTATAAATCCTTATGTAGATTTATGAAGATTATTTTTTTGTTTTTATGCCAGTGTTCTTTTTTTTTTTTTATTTTTTTTTATTTTTGTTTATTTTTTTTTATTTATAAATTTTTATATATATATTTGTGTAAGTTATATTGATGTTTTTGCACCTGTATTACTTTTTCTATATAAATTTTTATGTACATTTGTGTAAGTTATGTTTATATTTTTTTATCTTTTTAATATTATCATAGTTATAAAGCTATAATAATCTTTTTTTTTTTAATTTTTAACATTGTTACAACTCTTTTTAAATCTTTTATCTCCAATTCTTAAATTTTTAACTCCAAGTCTTAAATCTTTTAACTACAACTCTTAAATCTTTTAACTACTAGTCTTCAATTTTTTACCTTTAATTCTTAAATTTTTTAAAAATTACATGTCTTTTGCTTAATTAGTTTTGTTTTTATTAAAGCAACATAATTGAAAAAATATTAATTAGTATTTTTTCTAAATAATAGGTTTTAACTTACAAAGTTGTTGAGATCATTGTACTGCAAGCAGTGCACTTAACCACTAAGTTAATGAAAATAAAATTATGTGAAATTTAAAACATTATAAACTTTTTTGAAAAATGTAATTGAATCAGCTCATGCTAAAAGGGGATTAGTCAACAACACATAGTTTTGAGGAAACTAAATAAAACTTTGCATTATCTTCATTTTTGACCAAAAAGATGCAATTTTTTGAATATGAACTCTTTATTACCCCAGTTATTATGGGACATACTTGAATAATGACATTTACAATGCTTTCATATGAAAAAAAAATCATTAAAGTTGTTTGACATATCCCCTTTTAGCATAATATGAATAAAAAGACATATAAATGTGTTTAAAAAAATTGTTACTTACTAAAAACACTAAGAAATCAATATTTGCATATACTCTAATTTATAAGAAACTCATTTTATAAATATATACTATATTCAAATAAATCTAATTAGTCTGAAATAAGCAATATAAGCAATGACAACTTAGTCATCGTTTTCAACTTCAACTTTTTCTATTGTAGGCCACATATAAATTTCAGCATAAAAGTCTTCAAACTCCACCGGAATATAGGGTTGTAATTTTTTTATGTCTGCCTTTTTTTCAATCTTAATTGATACTTTTCCCGGAGAGTAAGCTTCTTTACTTGGAAAACATAATTTTCGGCAACCTGTTGCTCTAAAAGAAAAGCTGTGATTTATTATAGAATCGATGAAAGATCGTCCAATAACCTTAGAAGAAAATTTTATATCATATGTGCAGTGCATGAACTTGCTTATTGAAAAGTACTGCTTTTCGTTTTTTTTAACTTGCTTACCTTTAGTTTCATCGGAAACACAACTTTTTTTATAAAACTGCGGCCACCACGTCTTGAAGTCTAAAATTTCTGAAGATTGAATATTTTGTACCATAAATTTATCATTTTTGGAGGATGCCTTAACAAGTTCACATACTTGGTCTACTGTGTACAGTCTATCATGTCGGTTTAGTTCCCGCTTTATTATGCTAAAATCCCTATCACATGGTAGGAAGGAGTGCCCTTTTTTCAATATGCTGCCTGATAAAAAATTTGATTTCTTCAGACAATACTTGTTTTATATGACGTCCTCTATTATCAACTGGGCTTTTCGCAATCATTTTCAAAGCTTGTAATCTTTCAACTCGTTTTTTAGTAACTGCATGTAAACTTAAAAAAGCTTTAAAACAAACTGGCATTCGATCAGAACCCACCATAACATGATACTTAAAGGTAGCACACTTTTGAGGTACAGTATTTCCTTGGTAGTTAACATATTCTTCACCTTTTATTCTGGCAACCTTTACAATGTTTCTCTTCCAAAGACTTTGATCTGATTTCCTTTTCTTTGCTGAATTTTTCTCAAAAACCCCATCACTTTCATCTGAATTTATTTCCATATTTCAAACTTATTTATGATATAACATAATACTAAGAAAACAAAACATAAAGTTAATTCCTATTTAATGTAAGCTATATATAGTACAATAAACACAAGACTAAGAACACAAGACATAAAGTTAAACATGAACTTAATTCCAATTTAGGTCAGTTTAGGTTTTTAGGTACTGTATAGCAGTACAATAACATAAGGCTAAAAACAAAAGATATAAAGTTAAATATAAAGTTAATTCCTATTTAGGTTAAGCTATACAGTTCAGTAAAATAAATAAAAACAACAACAGTTATCTGTTGCAGTCAATTGCGTAGTTACGTCTACAAACGGCATAAGATGATTTTTTATGCTAAAAGGGGGTAAGTCAGTGACTTAACTCCTTCTAGCATGAACACCTCTACAACTGATTCCAGTTACCAGGGTAACCAAGCGTCTGGCATGTTATCTTAAACAGTTAAAAACTACTATTGAAACATGAAAACCATTATTAACTCAATTTTCAATTTTTGTGGCTTATCCCCTTTTAGCATGACCTGATTGAATTAATTAACCACTTTTCAAGCAGGTACTCTCAATTAACACAACTATATTGCATAGCGGTATAATTTATAAATAAAAAAAACTTTTTAATTAAAAAATCATGTAATAATAATAATAAAAAAGTTGTATTATAATTTCAGTATATAAAATTACAGTAATTATGTTTTGTTAAATAAGTTATAAGACATTATTTTGTATATTAATAAATTTTATATATTTGTATATTATTATATATTATTTTGTATATTATTGTATATTAACTTTACAACTTAGTACCAAGTGTAACCAATCTATAACTAAAATTTAAACTTTATAGACTTCAGCATCATAATTATATTTAGGTTTCTTGTGTCAGTATGGTTATTCTTGTGGATACACCAATTTTAATGAAATATCAGATTTTTTGGTAACAATTCTTAAAACTTCGCAAAGCATTGCAGGTATTAATAATAATGATGTAAAAAAATTTTTGTATATAAAAAAGAAAAAAAGGTTGCTTTGTAGGAGATAAAAAAGGGGATGGGATGAAAGTTTTTCAAATTTTGTTAATATAAATATTTTATTATGATTAATTTTTATGAGTAATTTAGTAATAAATTTCAAACAAAGGACTGATTCCTAATTTTTTTACTAAATTATATGAAATATGTATATTATAAAGTATATATATATATATATATATATATATATATATATATATATATATATATATATATATATATATATATATATATATATATATATATATATATATATATATATATATATATATACATATATATATATATATATATATATATATATATATATATATATATATATATATATATATATATATATATATATATATATATATATATATATATATATATATATATATATATATATATATATATATATATATATATATATATATATATATATATATATATATATATATATATATATATATATATATATATATATAAGTATAAATAAATATATATATAAGTTCCATTAAATGAAGTATAATATATATAAGTTCCACTATACAAAGTAGAAAATTGTAAATAGAATAAGCAGAAGCTTTTTTTTTTCTTTTTTTTAAAAAAAAAAAAAGCAAGACACTTTCTAAAAAAAATGATACAATAGCAGAATAAGGAGCCCTAGAAAGCTATGTGTATTGGGTTTTATGTTTAAAGCTATGTGTATTGGGTTTTATATTTTTTTGAAATATAACTTTAATAGAATAATAAATAAAAATAATTTTTTATAATTTTTTTTTAATTTCTCAGCGACAAAGTATTACAATTACAAAGAATAATTGACAATTATTAAGTTTAACGTAGCTTTTACCACTAAATTATAGTAACAACATCTTGTGATAAAGTTGTAAGGTGTTTAGTGGATAAGTTGAAGACCTTAGGTTGTTGGTTTTCGAAACTATGTTTACCCAAATTTTGAAAATAAATTTCTAAATTCTGGTTGTTATTAACTATGTCATTTGAAGACACATTAGCATTGTTGCTATTTTTCAACAACATTTCTTGAATTCTTTGGTTTTTTATATAATCTTTATCAAAAGCAGAAACAGTTATTTGTATTTTTCATTTTTACATTTTTCATATTGAATAATCATTGTTCAATTCTTTGAGAAACTTTATTTTTTTTTATGTTTGATAATAAAGTTTGTCACTTCTGCATCTACGTTATTTAATGATGTTTGAAATTTCTGACCCTTCCAATTATCGTCCAATCAGTCTTCTTTCTGTTATTGGCAAGGTCTTTGATAAACAAATTCCTCATGTCCCATTTTGAGTCTTAACTTGTCAGACTGTCAATAAGGTTTTCAATCTTCTCGCTCTACAGCTGACTTGCTAACTGCTGTGACTGAAAGATTTTATCATGAATTAGATGGAGGCCAAAAGGCTAGGGCTATTGCTTTTGACAAAGTTTGGCATGTTGCTCTTCTCCATAAGCTTGTTTCATATGGTGTATCTGGGAAAGTTTTTGAGGTTATCAAATCGTTTCTTATCTACATTAATGATCTTCCCAGCAACCTTACCTAAAGTAGCTCTTTTTGCTGATGAATTAACTTTTTATTCCTGTCTTGACAAAAAGTCTTCTCTTTTCGATCTCTTAGAACAGGCAATCGATCTTGAATCTGATCTCACTTATGTAACAGATTGGGGCTCACAGTGGCTGGTAAATTTTAACCCCAACAAAACTCAGTTGTTTACTGCCAACAACTATTGCAGTAGACATTCCTATATTTACGAATAACAACCCTCTCAATGAGTCCTCTTCTTTACGTCTTTTTGGATTATCATTTACTACTGACCTTTCACAAAAACCATATATACAATCGATTGCTAAATTAGCATCTGCTAAGGTTGCTTCTCTTTATCGTGCTCGCCATTTTCTCTCTCCTGATTCCATTCTTTACCTCTACATATCTCTTATTTGTCCCTGTATGGAATGCTGTTGTTATATTTGGGTTGATTCTTCTAATGATGCTCTTTTTTTTCTAGACAATGTGTTAGACAAGCTTAAAAATTTTGAAGAGTACAAAAACGTTTATTTAAACGCTTAACTAACTGAATCGGAGTTTAATCTAAACAGCTGAAGAATGTCGAAAAACACATACGGACACGTGTGTTTATTACGGAATACACTAGAACAAAGTAGTCAAATTATCTAAGCAATAGCAATTAAAGTATAGTTATTGTGAGATTAATAAAAGTATCTTTGAGTTTATTAAGATAAAGAAGAAATCAAAGAAATTAAGTCTGACGACTGATAAAATTAAGGAAAAACGTTAAGTCACTTACGGCAACTTAAAAATTTTATGCACTATAAACTAAATTACTTTACTGGTCCGGTTTTATTCCAAAGAATTTTAAGAGGTGGTGGAATTAGAGCTTATGTTAGAATCGGAATTAATTTTAAAGTAAGTAATACTGGCTTTTATGAAAAAATTGTTGAATCTACGGGAGTTCTGGGGAAATAACAAGTGGAAAATTGTTAATATTTCCTCCAGGTGGATTAGAGCAAGAGAAATTTGGGTTGACTGAAAAAATTGTTTTAGAAAATAATAGTATCAACACAATATTCTGCGGTGATTTCAACATCGACCTAATTCAATAACTTCTCTGGATTACGTGAATATCCTAAAAGAGTACAATCTCATAAATATTACGTATGGACCAACTAGATTAATTTCTGTTAAATGCCTTGATCATGTTTTGATTAGAAGAAAGCAAACAAATGTTAAAACAATAATTCATAATTATGGAATAACGGATCATCAAATTGTTTTACTCACACTACATGACTTCTTTGATGTAATAAAGATGAGGTTTAGGAAACTAAATGCGGAAACTTATAATTTAATTAAGACAAAGTTGGATAATTATTACACAAATGATAGCATTGAGACAAGTTACAAAAAATTTGTTAACAAAATCCAGATTGAGTTAGACATAGCAGCACCAGTAAATACAATGTTAAAAAATTTTTACATTACGGAGATTTTTACCAAAAAAAGAGTGGATGAACAGAGAATTGCTTGAACCGAGAAAGTTTATTACAAATTTAAGCTCTAAAGTTATTAGTGGAAGACTTAAAAACATCTTAGTTCAAAATAAGAAAAGATATTTAAAAAATGTCTATATTCAAAAAAAAAGCCTCTTTTGGCAACAGCTGATAAATTGTAAAGGCGACAGTAAGAAAACGTGGATTGTTCTTAAAAAAGCTCTTTAAAAATCTTGTAATAAAGATTCGATAAAACTTGAAAAGAATAATTCATTAATTGAATCAGAACTTGAAACAGATAACTTGTTTATAGACCACTTTAAAGATGCTTTACTTGAGCTATGACCAAGTAACTTTATTCCCATGAACATTACAAATATCTTACGCCTCACGATGTTACTAGGGATTTAAAGTCAGTATCTAATGAGTCAATTATGCAAGTTCTTAATGATTTAGTTCCCAAAAGTAGTTGTAGTTTTGACCTAATTAGTAACAAGTTAATTAAATTGCTTATCAGGATTCACAAATTTTTAAACAAAAATGATCAACGAATCGAATTAGTACTGGTTATTTCCCCGAATATATTAAACTAACAAAGATAAAACTTGTTTATAAAAAAGAAAATAAAACCGTTATGGGTAATTACAGAATGATAAGTGTCATTGACCAGCATCAATATTATTTGAAAAAGATTGAGATGAAACTTGAGAATATCATTCCGATAAATCAATTTGGCTTCAAAAAGGGATGCAATTCTGTCCATGCAAAATTGAAAATTCTCAATAAAATAACGAGTTATAGAAACCAAAAAAATTTAGCAGTCATATTAATAGATATAAAAAAAGGCTTTTGACAGTTGTGTGCATGCCATTATTTATAATAAACTCAAAAACATAGGTGTAGGTAAAAAAACTTTAAAATGGATTTCTTCATATTTAGCTGACAGGAGGAAGGCAGTTGTTATTGGAAATTACACATCTAAAGTAAGACTTGCAAAGTTAGGAGTTGGTCAAGGAACATGTATAGGTCCTTTGCTTTTTAAAATTTATATTTATGATCTTCAGGGTGCAACAGAGCTTGGCACCTATTTTTTTGCTGATGATACAACAATCGTTGCAAAGGCGGACTCGATTGAAGAGTTACAAGAATTATGATGCAAAGAATTGGAGAAAGTCAGTAATTGGTTTGTAGCAAATGGACTAACACTTCATCCTGAAAAAACAAAAATAATGATTTTTGGTTACAAAAAAAAAGTAGAAGCAAAGTTGCAAGGTCTCAAGGTTACCCAATGTGGTGTTATAAAAATAAAAAGCGTTAGCATTTTGGGTATTCTGTGGGACGACAAATTGAAGTGGATCATCATTTAATTCGTGTGTCAAATAAATAAGCAAAGATATTCACCTGTTAAAAAGATTTAATAAACTGTTGCTGTGCAAATCTAAAGTTCTTTTGTATAATGTGTTGATTAGAAGCCATTTGATTAGGGTTTTTTTTCAAAACTTATTAACAAAACTTATCATTAAAAGATCAAATTTTAGGCCACATCATTGTGGCCTAAAATTTGATCTTTTAATGATAAGTTTTGTTAATAACAAATCATTACATTCCAAAAATTAGCTCTAATTGTCAAATTTTTTTCTCGATGTTTTTTGAGCTAATTTAAAGTGCTCATATTACCAAGTGGTCTGGGTTTTATGAGCACTTTTGCTACTTTTTTAAAACCACTGTTTTTAAGAAAAAACTTCGATTCCCCCAAATATCTAAGTGTGTCATAAGTAGTGATCCCTAAAAATTGTTTATTTGCAAAAATTTTGGATCTAGCATAATTATTTTTGAAAATATTCTAATTTTTGCTTAAGGTGCTCGTATTACTCTAATCTACCCAAGATATATAAAAAAAATGCTTAAAGAAACGCCTTTTGCCATTTTTTAAAAAACATGAAATGCCCCCAATATTTCTGCCTAATTTGGCTACAATTCACTACTCCAAGTAGTTTCTAGAATAGTATGAACAAAATGGCGTCGATTTTTTATCTAAGGAAGCAAATCATCCCAATTATCCTGAGCAGCAGGTTATTGAAAGTTATTAGTTAATTATAAAAGGAATCCCATTAAAAAGCAAGACATTAGCTACAAATAAAATAGATTTAAAAAAAAAACTCAAATCAAAATCCAGCAGTTGATGTCAAAAACTCGCAAAGATATTCAGCTTCTATTTAAGCGTTCGACAAAAAATGTAAAAAATTATTGAAATAAATAATTCAATAAGACACATTGTGTTAAAAATGTAAACAATCTGTTAAGTTGTTTTCGCGTAATTAGCAGTTAAAGGGTGCAGAATTTCAACTTGTTCAACCGATACTTTTTTTTTTTAGATTATTTATATTTGTCGCTGTTAAAGAAATACCGTTTTATAAACCGGTTTATGTAAATTTGAATGAATTTTTTATAACAAAACTATCGTTTCCAATATCGGACATCGGTTTCTTTGATCGGAAGTGGTGCGTGGATAAATCTGAGTTTAACTTCAATAAATATAGTTATCATTAATCTTAAATAAAAAGACATTAATCAAAATATCTCACCTAATATGTTTTTTCTTGGTAAAAAAAAATATTTTACAGGCCTCTCTCGTTTTCTTTTTCACATGGTAAAATTATTACACTCAAGAAAATAAACTTTTACTAAATTGAACTTTTTAAAAAATAAAAACAGGGGGTTTTCATGTTTAAGAAGTTTTTTAATTGAATGCATCAATTCAATACAAGTTTTATTAAAAAATATATATGAATTTAATAAGATATTTTATTGTATCTAAAAACAAAATAAAAGAACAACAAAAGCACTCGCTTCAATGAAAAAATAATGATAATTTCCTAACAAAAGTTTAATTTTGTAATCGCGAAAGTAAACCTTTTAAGCGTGCTAAAAATTATCGTCGTTCAAAATGTGTTCTTTCATTATTCCTCTAATATTTGAACTGATTTATACTTTTTTTTGATCATAAACGAATCATAAAACTTGTGACAAAAGTCCAACCTAACTTTTTCGTCTAACTTTAAGCAAATACTGTAAAATAATATTATTTAAATGAATTTATATTTCATATTTTCACAATTGCTGATTGTTATCTTTTATTTGAATGTTTCAAAATTCAAATAAAAGATGACAATGTGTAATTGTAAAAATATGAAATATAAGTTCATGTAATTATTATTATTTTGCAGTGATTCTTTATGAGAACGTTAGGCACATAAGGGTTCACTCAGGGTTCAACCAGTTCATATAGATTAAGTCACACCTATCTGACTCGCTTTATAGGTGGTCTGGTTCTAGCGGGATCTGGGTTAATAAAGCATATCCATGTGTTGTTGATCATCGCATTAAATATTCTCTGATATAAAACGAAGCATTATGGTATGACTAATACAACATATAGCTGGATGAAAAATCTCACACATAAAAAGCAATGTTAGCATAATGTACAAAACGGAATTAAATGTCTTATGCGAGGTCGATCCTCGGTTCGTTCATATTTTTAATTTATGTTAAATACTTTAGTAATGCATCATTAAAACTTAATTCAATCATGTTTGCTGGTTATACAAAATTATTAATTTCCAATAATTATATCAAACTGTATACAGATGCAAATATTGAATGAAAAAAATTTTCTTAGGGGTGTCCGATGTCTCAGGACAATTTATCCCAATTACCACTGCAAAATGTATTTACAAACTTGTTTCGATAACCTTGGTAAAATATATATAAGCTTGTTTTGGTGACATTGCCAAGTTGCTTACGGTAAAACATTTTGAATAATAATTTTTTTATATTATTTTAGGTTCTGTTAGCGAAAGTGTTCAAGTGGCCGCTGTATTTGCTTTGATGGATATAATTCCGAGTCAGTCTTTTAAACTATTGTCTCTTATTGAAAAATGGATTGAAGATACAAAAGATTTTCCAGTACCAGCATATATTGATCAGAACATAAGTAGAATAAGTAAATTAATTAAGAAAAATAAGTAATTCTATTGTTTTTGTCTAATTTTATCAGCGATGACGTCAGTTGTTTTCTACTCAAACGTTCGGCAATAGCTTTTTTAGTGTTTTAAGGGTGTTGAGAGCAACAACAACATGTTAACAATCTGTGCCTTTTGAAGAAGCAAAAACTTTAGATAGTCATAACTTTGAATCACCAAATTTTACTTGACGAAGTTTGAAATATTAAAAGTTTAGGGTCCTCCATAATTTTGACAGCAAGCAATCTTAGCCGATTTTAAATATGTATTTAGATAATATAACAAATTATTTTATTAAAAAAAACTACAAATCATCCAGCAATATAAGTGAGAACTGCGGTGCCGCGGTGTTAACTAAATCGGAGATTGCTTCTAGGGTATTACATTTAGGTTAGGGGGGCACCGATGCCTACTTTTGGCCGATCCTGGTACAGGCTTATACTGATGCATCGGCATCGGCCCTGAAATTGGCTATATGAAGAAAATATACACTTGAATGGAAATGCCACATTCCATTCATGTGACAATGAAAGCAACATTTTTCAAATTGTTACTGTTGAAGTTTATTTTCCATTTATTCTTTTATTGTTCTTTCGATAATAAAAGCAATTAATTCAATTGAAATCTCATTTTATAAATATTTACTTACGTCATTCTGTTCAAATTTAGACGATTTTGTTTTTTATCAAGAATGAATGGAAGATTTTTCTGTCGTTACTTCTAATAATTTGCAAGTTTTTAACTAATGTTTTTAAGAAATTAAATCATAAAAGAATAATGTTTATTTATTAAGCGCTTAAAAGAATACTTGAATGTTTATTTATTAAACGCTTTTAATTTAATAATAAACATTTTTATTATTTAATTTTAATATAAATGTAATGAAACATTTTTATTGTAAAGAATAACTGAAAGAGTTTCAAAAAAACTTTGTTTAAAACAATTTTCTCTTCTGTACTGTACTTCTTTTTATACTGGGGGAAATATAAATAAATCGACACGGTCCCGATTAACTACAGAACATGGAGAACATCTAGCTTTTGTGCATGCGAATTAGAAATTTTTTGGAGAAATGGAAACAAAAAAATAGATTCACAGTTTTATATAACATATTTTATTACTTTTCATAACATAAAAATTTATATTTATTGTTAACATGACGCAAGTAGTTCTATTATGTTTTTAATATGTTATAGTCATGTTTATATTTTTTAAATGTGCATTTCTAGATTTTAAACTTCTTTGTAGAGTTTCGTTCCCATAAATTATATAATTAATGTACTAAATCATGAGAAGACACTAAAAAAGTACGGAGCCCTGTTAAAAGTAGTTCAAACATTTTTAGTTTAGAGATTGCATATATGCCTACATAGTAACTTATTATTAATAAGTTAAGCTTATACATTGCATTTGTGTTTATGGAGTAATTCTATGTTAAGATATAATATATCAGGAAGAAAAAAAAAATTAAAACTTTTCAAAACAATTGGCATCGGCAGGGCGATGCACCGGCAATTTAGGTAATCTTATTAATAATATTAAATGAACATTCTTACATCAGTGCATTGTCTGTCCCTTTTCTCTATGCTATCTTTCTAACTCGACTTCTTCTGACTTTCACTCTATTTTCATTCGTTCTTCCTAAACTCACTTACTCTTGATTTGCGACGCTCAAAAGGAGCTGAACTAGTCTTTGCAGGCCTTTGATATGCGGCCTCTTTATGGCAGTTAACCGGAGGAGGATAAACCACAATAACATATTTAGTAATTAATAGTACGTATTGCACCTTCTAACATCGTGTGCAATCCTGTCTGCCTTACTCTATTCTATCTAATACGACATCTTACACTCTAATATTTCTTCGTTCTTCCCGAACTCACCTTACTCTCGGTCCGTAGACCAGGTTATGAAGCTCCTTTAGGAGCTGAATTAGTCTTTGTGGGCCTTGTTATGAGGCTTCTAGATGGCAATTAGCCGGAGGAGGATAAACCACAATACCAGCAATATAGTATCTTATTTCTATAAAAAAAAAGGTTAGTTTTCTTGTGCACCAAGGGCGACAAAAAAAGTTGAGGAAAGAGTCGTACCTAGTGAAAGAAAAGAATATAAAAAGAAAGAATATTAGGAATATATGTCTTAGAAAAGTTTGCTTTTAAAATAAAAAACGTATTATGCTTTTTAAATGATAATTATGAAAGCCTCTTCATTGAAAATATTAATAAAAAATACCAAAATATTTTAATTGGATGTGTTTATCGTACCACAGAGTGGAAAAATAAAAAACTTCGAAACTTTTATGAAAAATACGATTATGAAAATAAATATATATATATATATATATATATATATATATATATAATATATATATATATATATCAAATAGAATTATCGCCCCATGGAATACGCTTTCGCAAGAAGCAATGAACGCTCAATCCATCAACGCTTTCAAAAACAACATAAGAAAGTAACTTTATAGATAAAACTGCTGCTTTGTCTGTAGCGTCTGTATCTCCATGTTCGTCAGCGTAGAGGGGCCTGGTGTAGCTCTTCATCAAATTATAAATGGATTATTGTAATTGTATTTGATCACTGAAATAAATAATAATATTACTGGTGACATAAAAGTTGGTGACCATCTAACACAATATTTCCAAAAATAAAATCTTTTTTTGATATGCTTTTTTAATTTAGTTCCTTGTCAACTAATAATAAACCAACGCGAGTAACAAAAACCTCGGCAACAGCAATAGACAATATTTGTTATTAAGAGTTATTTAGAAACGACAGTCGAAACCAGTATATTTTATAAACAAGAACTGCAGTTTTGACTAGCTTTTTTACTATTTTACTGGTATTTTTCTATTGTTTGCATAAACTACCAACAACGAGAAATATGCACTAGAGTTTGCTTTTCAAATTAACAGCGTTTGCAATGTCTTTGGTAACCCACGTTTTGCGTTTCATAGTATAAGGAGTGGTTGTTCTATGGACGTAGAGTGATGTTGCTTTAATAAGCCGATTTTATGAGTTTGAAACTTGCTATCTGATGGTCAGTCATTTTGCCCATATGCAACAGTTGCGATGCCACCTTCAACGTTGATGTTTAAGTAAGTAGTGTTGCTAAAGTTAAAGTTGCCATACACGAATTACAAATTTTTATAGCAACCTGAATTATTAACCTTTTATAAATGAAACTACATTTTTTTGCGTTTAAGTTAGCATTTTTACTTTGTCATTTTTTCATTTTAGTTTTACAATTTTCACAAACTAAAGTAAAAATTGCAAACTCAAACGCAAAAAGGTATTTTACTTAATTTTTAAATGAAAGAGTAAAGAAGGTTTTTTCAAATATTCAGCTATTAATTGCATTTAAACAACTACCCAATCTGTTAAGAATACTGACCTCTGCAAAATTCTTGTTAATTGATAAAATAATAGGATTAATTAAATCTAAAGATAATCGTTGTAAAATATGCAAATTCTACCTTCAAGAAGTTAAAACATTTACAACATTAAATGGTTGCATATGGAACATAAAGAGTCATATAACTTAATAATAGTAAAAATGTAAATAAAAATATAATATACGATATATTAATTAATATTAATAACCAATTTATTAATTAATATTAAAAACCAATAGCACTATGGTTCGCAAAAAAATTCGCATTTTACCCGTTCGCAGTTCGCGGTTCGCAATTTTCATTTTATCGACTACTTTCAAGAGCGAATGTTTTTTCAAAAAACAGTACCGTTAACTTTTTTTAGAGGTAAGAAAGATTTATTATTATTATTATTATTATTTTTTTTATGATTGAGATAACTACTTTTTACTTAAGTATAGTCCTTGAAGATACAATTTTATTTAATTGTTTATTGTGATTATTATTTTGTTATTTTGCGTTCCGTTAAAAAAAGTTCATCTTAGGAAACTGGTTGCCTAAGATGAGATGATTGAGTGTGTTGATAATAACGCAATTTTTTGTATAAAGATTTTTTTTAATAAACTATTTATTTATATTTTTTAAGAGGAAAAATTAAATTATGATAATCTGCAAAAATAAATATAAATAATATAATGTTTTAGCTACAAAAAAATAATACACTGTTAATATGCTCAACATACGCAACTTTGCCCTTATTGATATCTCATAAGTGTTATAGAAAATTATTCAAAATAGGATAAAACTTTATTTTATAGAGTTTTTATTTTCGTTGACAATATGCTTTAAAAAGTTAAACAAACAACATAAAATATACAAGTTTGGTAATCCAGTGTAAAAATTTACTATTGAATCTGTATCAAATGGCTGTTCCCTCACTGAGTTTTACTATTTTTTATAATCTTTTCTTTCACTTGATATGAACTGGTATTGATTTATCCTTCTCCGGGTTATTGCTATCCTCATACCAAGCCCCGCAAAGACTAATTCAGCTCCTAAAGGAGCGTCATAAACCGCTCTAAGTACCGAGAGTAAGGTGAGTTTGGGAAGAACGAAGATATATTAGAATGAAAGATAGAAGAAGTCGTGTTAGAAAGATAGCATTGAGAAAGCGGACAAGAATTGCATATGATGTTAGAAGGTACAATGCGTGCTGTTACTTAGTTTACCTAATTAATGTACGCCGTCAAAGCCTTGATAAGTTCACTTGATAAGAAGTCTTTTTTTTTTTTTTTATAAAACAATAACTGTTTACAATTTTATAAAATTATTTTAACTCAGGTTACAATAATAATAAGGTTTTAATATATAAGAGTTACAACTGTTCATATATATATATATATATATATATATATATATATATATATATATATATATATATATATATATATATATATATATATATATATATATATAGCCGTTGTGCGGTAAGAAATCGAAAGTTTAGATGAAGTTTATAGTAAGAAATTCAAAATAGGTTAAAGGATGTTTTTTTTTAAGAAAAGCAAAACAATTAAAAAATTACAGAACTTTTACACTAACTTTGCGTTACAAACTTTATAGATAACACT